GATTTAAACATTAATCACTTCTACAAAATAATCTTCACAGCAACATCTAGACCTGTCTTTGACCAAACAACTGGGCACCATGTCCTTGCCATCTTAGCTAAGTTGCCACATAAAATGAGCCATTACGGGACTTTCATCATGATACTGCTTGATTAGGCAATCAGAGACAAAATTCAAGTTATTCGTTTCTTAAGGTATAGCTTCGACCAGATCCTAGAGAGCACCACAGTTTAATATTTATAATATACACGTGTGTGCACGCACACACACACATCTACACTGTATATTAGAGAAGAGCCTATTTATTACTCCATTTTGTTCACTCTCTGTGCCTGTCCTCTCTGGAAAGGTCAACAAATTCATGTCTTTTTTTTAAAATAACAATTGGTGTGGAATTTTTGTCAGTTTCCTTTTTATTTTTTTTATATATATTTTTAAAAGATTTTATTTATTTATACTAGAGCTGGGGTACAGGCCAGAGTTGTGGGAGGGTGAGAGGATTCACTGGAGACAGAGCGGGGAACAGAACAGGCAGATGGACCAAAAGCACTGCTGAGGGGAGCAGTAGGCGAGACAGGAGAGGTCTGCCGTGCCATGTGGGAATCTCCCTGGCCCGCTGGAAATCACACCGGTGCTGCAGAGGCTGTGGACAGCTTCACAGCGCTGAGCTGAACCCGCTGCGCCACTGGGGAGGCCCAGTTTACTTTTTTAAACTAAGTAAGTTCATTAGTCTTCCCTTATGCACAGGCACTTAATGATGCTCAGAGAACAATAAAAGCTAACCAGACCTGATGGTTTCTTCTTATGGAATCATGCCACCTCTCCTTTGAGTGGAAAAGGAATGCAACTCTTCGTAGGGATCCTCCAGCCTGTCTATTATGAAAATAAATTCAATGGCCTGTGTTTTCCCATAGCCTTTGAATGAGGGTCTCTGACACAGTCTGTGTAATGTCAACTTACACATTTTAACCAATTTTTCAACTTCTAACTTCTATTTCGAACTTCTTGGGTAACTGCCTTCCAAGCTGAGAACTTTGCCAATATCTTCGTTTTTTTTTTTTAACTTCTAAAGAATAGTCTCACTCTGGGACTAGCTGTGTGGTTAGGAAGTTTAGAGCTGATGAAGGCAAGTTCTGTGAGACTCAGGTTCCCCACTCTGTTTCAGCCAGATTTGCCTTTATTTTCATATATTGCCTTTCCATACTGAAATCATATTTCCATATTTTCTTTGAAAATGTGACTCAAAACATTGGTTTTAATGTCTTTACCATTTGCTAATCCATTAGCTCTTGTCTGTCTGCTTCAAGAAACTAAGGCAAAAGTAAACAAAATAATATTGGTTAGATAATCAATATTGTTCTAGAACTTCACATATAGTGTCATTTAATTTTACAGGAACCCTTAGGTTAGTTATTATGGTATCCATTTAAAGATAAAGTTCTGTAGCATTAAGTAACTTCCTGAGGTCACAAAATTGCCAAGTGGTAGAAGCTAAAATTCAAATCCAGGTCTGTTGAAAAGCCATGCTCTTTGCTTCATCATACTCTAACCAGTTCTGCAGTAAAGATCTCGTCAAATAAATAACTAACTCATATTTATGTATTCACTCAAATATACATTTTAAAACATTATCTGCCCATTTATCTACTCACTTATCTATTATATTGAGAGAATTTTCTTGGTTTTAGTTTTTTGAGGGCTCATATAAGGAATTGGGGATGTTTGATTATATGTGCCTTTCTATTAGCAAAATAATTTACTCAATACCTATTATATGCAGATACTGTGCCGCTTTAGAAAGAGAAATAAAACAGAGTCCCAGTGCCTTCTCCACCTTTGGAGACTCTAGCATCACAGTGCAGGAATACTTTCAAAGGTGTATCCCAGGAGGGAGGCCTGCACTAGGGGAGAGTCCTGGATGAGTTGTTTCTGTGTCAGGGACAAAGCAGTCCTAGCTCAGATGAGAACTTCTAAGGTCATCCCGGCCTCACCTCCTGTGTGGAGCAGAGGCCCAGGAGGTGGTTAAAGCCAGAGGGCAGAGGCCCTAGGGTGGGTGTTAACTGCTTAGGAATGTTGATGGAATGCAGGGCTCTCCCACACGGACGTGCCATTTGGTACCTGACTCTGACCACACCCAGCCCCAAATGGAAGATTTTAGTCCTTTCCCAAAGAGATTATTTCCTCCACTGAGGCTTCCAAGGAAAATAAATAGAGTGCAGAATGATAAGGCCTCTGCCCTGACAGTGGAGCAGTTCCTGGAAAGGGAGCGGAGGGAAGGTGAAAGAGGGTGTTCACCTCACCCTTGCAGCCTTTGGTTGTGGCACCAGTTGCCAAAAAAACCTCCCTCCTCCACCCCGAGGGTCACTGGTGCATCAAGCAAAACCACAGTCCTGTACCCTACCCTTCCTGAATAAGTCCATCAATAATTAGTCCTAACTTCTTACGCTTTATCATCTTGTGCTGATCAACTACTCTGTGTGTTTTATTTCATTAATATGACAACACTATAGAAGTTGTGTTTTCTCCTTTTTAAAAATGCAGTACAAACTATACATTAATTGACTTAATGACTAAGATTCTAGCAGTAGACACAAAAAAGAAGGGATATTATTGTTTTCATTATAAAAATAGAATGTGAATTTACTTGGAGGGAAACATACAGTGCATTGTAACAGTTTATGACTCTGGTGGGTTTGGGGGTAATTCAAAAAACTATGTATGTGTGTGTTTATGATATGTATACATCCTCATAGATACACATATAAATTATACATTTAAAAAATTAAAATGCAGAAGTAGCCACTGAGTGGAGTTTCCCAGGGTTCTACAGTAAGGCTGGGACAAGAGAGGGTTTGAGTGTTGGCGTTCTGACCCCAAGTCCAGCGTGCTCACCATCAGACCATGGCCAGTCTGCAGAGTAACCCATAGGAAACCTCTCAAAATCTGTGACTCTTTTGGGAGATGCCACAAATGTTTTGGGTCCTCTGGACACCAACCTAGTCTAAATACAAGTGGCTAAGGAGAGGTTACGAAATGCTGATGTCACATTTGTTACAGGGCAGGGAGAGGGGCACCCCAGAACCCCCAAACCTGCCTGCTCTAAATAGATTCTGAAATGCACTATATCAAGACAAAACATACAGACCTTTAATAAAAAAGAACTTTAATACAATTAGTGTGCAATACAAAAGGGAAGAATATAGTTTCCAAATCTAAGCACCCAAAGTTACCCATCCCCTCGTAGATAAAAGTCTAGCCAAACAGAATTGGCCCAAAGCAAGGCCCGAAAGCCTGCCACAAGTGGAAAGCACCTTCCGGTGGGGAACCATAAAAAAGGGTCAGAAACAGACAAGTCTGGGAGGAAAAGAGCAAAATCAAAATCAAGATAAAAGCTGCCATTGGTAACCTCCCCATGGGTCTCTCACCCATATTTGTTTCAACCAGTCCAGGACCACAAAGCAAGTGCAGTTTCCTCACATGTCTCTCTGCTCGTTGGGCCTCCTTCAGGTCACATTCTGGCTCTCCATCCTGCTTCCTTCCTTCTCCAGTCTCCTCTCAAGCTTCTTCCTCCTCCCTGCTCAGCTCCACCCTCCCTTGGTGGGGCAGGGAATCTGGAACCTCCCCTTTTCCTAGGGACCTGTTACACACTGACCTACACATTCGCACCAGAATTCTGTGGCCTAGTACCTCTCTCTCAGGTACCAGGCATCAAGCTCACCTAGGTTTGTCTTCCCTGACCTTGCCTTTCGATGTACCTGGAATGTCTACCTGCCCCACCTTCCTTCCACAACCAGCCACCTCTAGTCTGCTTGTCAAAATCATACATATTCTGCAAAACATAGGAGTCCCCTCCTCAAACTCTCAGGGTACTTAGTCTCGCCAGCTGTATTTGCAAACATATCAGTATCTTAGCTTCCCAATAAAGCATAACATCCTAGAACACAGCACTCTCTTTACCTATCTTTGACTACCTCAAAACACAAGCTGTATCATTCAATGCATTTTGATTTAGTGCATAAATGCATAAAGTAGTTCGCTGATTTATTTAGTTACTAAAACACTGAGAGATGTGGATAGCTTTTCTCAAGGTATTTCAAGTGCAAAAGCCAAAAGGATTTACCCAAACAATTGCCCTAGTGCAGAGAACCCTCAGGGCAGGGCAAGAGCAGCCCATTTTCTGCTGAGTGTGGCACTAAATGCTGTAGATTATTTCTTGGTGTCAGTGTGGGCTTGACGGGAGATGGAGGGAATTTGAAGTAGGGCTACATCTAGGCTCTGGAGTCCCACAGACAAACATAATCTGACCCTGTCACTTGTTGTATGGCACCAGGGAGCTTATTTACCATTTAAACTTTAGCTCCCTTGTCTGCTTTATGGGGACCTCCTCACCTGTCAAGCTAAATGCAATTAGTTTATGCAAATTAGATGTGTCTGTATCAAGGACCTGGTAGAGGGGTACATACTTAGAAGGTACTAAAGTTTATCTCCTCTTTTCTCCCCCTCCCCTAATATGTCAGGGTATTTTTATTTGCCAATTATTTTGTGAAGATAACAAAATATTAAGAAAATAATGGTGTTTATATGGGAAGTAAGTGACAACTTTGACCATGTGTTTACCCTTTGGATCCCAGTTTGCCAAGGCCAAGGATGGGAGGAGGTGTCCAGTGGTCACCACTTCACGTGTGGCCTTGTTGACTGGCAGTGCCTCACTTCATTCCTCAGAAGTATGCCGTCAATGCAATCCATACTTTCAAGAGTCCCTAGAAGCTACTGATCAGACTCTGGCAAGATTTACTCATTTTTCTTCTTTCTAAAATTACAGTGATTCCTGTGTTTAGTAACAAAATTTCTTCCTTTGCTAAGTGATTGCAAGACTTCAGTTTGGATGTTTTGGAACACAAAAAGACAGTACCCAGTAGCCTATGTGGTCATAGAATGAGACTCATGGCAGTTCTTGTCTCTACTTCCTATTAAATGTAATGTTCTGATTGTGCCTTCAGCTGTGGGACAGCCTGAAGATGACTAAAGACGACTCCCCTGTTCGTTGCTTCCAGGGCCTGCTGATTTTTGGAAATGTGATTATTGGTGTGAGTAAAGAGTATTTTTTCAATTCTATTCTTCCAGGAGTTGTGATTTATTTTTGTTAAAGATTTATTTATTTATGCATACAAGAACTGGGGTATAGCCCAGAGCTGCAGGGGGTGAGAGGATTCACCAGAGACAAGAGTGGGAAACAGAACAGGCAGACTGACTGAAATACACTGCTGAAGGGAGCAGTGGGCGAGACAGGAGAGGTCTGCTTCACCATGTGGGTTGCTCCCTGGCTGGCCGGGTATCGAATTTGTGCCACAGTGACTGCGGATAGCTTCACAGTGCTGTGCTTAACCCCTTGTGCCACCAGGGAAGCTTGTGATTTTTTTTTTTTTTTAGATTAATCAAAAGTGAGAGTATGAGGAAAAATAACAACAATGTAATTACTGGCTCCCAACAGTTTTTCTTTATTTTAAGAAATGTATTAGGAAAATACACTAGCTGGCATTTAATTATGTAACCATATATGACTACGCTATGTGTCTAAAGACCATGGTTTAAAAAAAAGAGATATTTTCCTCCCGATTTTCAAGCACAAGAATCTGAAAGGAGCCATATGGCCAGTGCCAAACACTCCCACCCCAAGCATGCTCTGGTCTTTCCTTCCTATTTCACCTTGGTTTGTGTTCTGTGGGACTCCGGGTTGTTGGAGAGAGATGTTAGTGTCTCTTGTTCTGGTCATGTAGAGCCCAGTGCCAGGATGTGAGGGTGTCTCAGAGGCCAGGCTGTGTGGACAGTGAGGCCAGAGAGCACCTACAGGTCAAGAGCGCAGACTCTCGGCCCAGTTCTGCTTCCAACTCTAGATAAGCATTGCCTTCCAGGGCCGAGATCCTCATCTGGACAATACAGAGGGCTGGAAAGATAACCACTGAGCTTCTTCCGCTCTTACATGCCGTGACTCTGATAGATAGGACCAGGGCTAATTTAAATATTACCATCGAAGAATGTGGGTTATGGGGCTGTGGGAGTAGAAGTGAGGGGTCACCTTCATACCAAAAGATGTCATTTGAGCGATTCACACCCCAAGGACTTTATAGATCATCTGAAATGGTCTTTTCCCAAATAACAGAGTGATATGGAGAAGGAGACACACAACCAATTAGTTAGATGGAAGGAGCTGTTTGATTTCCTGGCAATGAGGAGTTTAAGTCAGTTGCTTAAAGGTTCTGCAGAGAATGGAGTTCGTCTATCTTAGCCACTTCTCCACTCCCTTTCCCAGCACGACCCCCCTGGCCACCACCCTGACTGAGCTCCTTCTCCTCCAGATGTGTGGCATCGCCCTGACGGCCGAGTGCATCTTCTTTGTATCAGACCAGCACAGCCTGTACCCACTGCTGGAAGCCACCGACAATGATGACATCTATGGGGCAGCCTGGATCGGCATGTTTGTTGGCCTCTGCCTCTTCTGTCTCTCTGTTCTAGGCATTGTGGGCATCATGAAGTCCAACAGGAAAATTCTCCTAGTGGTGAGACCTTAAAGCTCTCTACAGCTGTCTCCTGGACAAATTTTGATGGATTGTTTCTTCCCTGAGTACAATGCTTTGATTTTCAGTGGGGAAGACAGGAGCAGAGAACACCAGTGTGAGGGGCAAGGAGGAGGGGGTGGTGCCCTCCACTACTGTCAGTTCGAGATTCCAATTCAGAGAACCAAAGGGGAGGCACTTGGAGGCACTGATGTTGAGTATTTTCCAGATCTGTGCTTCCTCAACTCGACCAAAAGGTACAGGCAGGAGTTTCATAGGCCAGAAGAGAGACAGAGTGAAACCATAATAGTAAGCTTAAAATATTGTTTTAATATTTAAATTATATTAAAATTTTAATATCAATCAGGTACTAATATAGTAAGATATAAAATACAAAATATGCATTTGAATTTTCATTTTACTTGAATTTGCATAAGAATGCATGAACCTTTTTGCCAAGTATGAGCTCAAGGCTGCTGCTTTTCTGTGACAACCTGCACTTCTAATATTATGCTCTCTCTCTGCTTTTGTATTTTTTTTAAAGACTTATTTATTTATACATTCAAGAGCTGGGGTACAGGCCAGAGGTGTGGGGGGTGAGAGGATTCACCAGAGACAGAGTGGGGAACAGAACAGGCAGACTGACTGAAATATACTGCTGAGGGGGGCAGTGGGCAAGCCAGAAGAGGTCTACCTTGCCATGTGGGTTTCTCCCTGGCTGGCCCAGAGTCGAACTCATTCTGCAGAGGCTGTGGATTTCTTCATAGTGCAGTGTTTAACCCCTTGAGTCACCAGGAAGGCCCTCTCCCTGCTTTTGGGGGGACCCTAGAAAACACTATGTGTGCCACTGTGGAGAGCAGCTTCAGCTCCCAACTGCCTGTGGAGACCTGAACTCTGAGGTCTCTGGAGAGGCTCCCCTGGAGAGGCTTCTGGCTTAAACCACAGACAGCAGATTCATGCCCTGTCTTTCCAAATGGAAGTAAAGTTGCAGGGAGCAGAGTTAATCCTCAGGTCAGGGTTTAGCCTTCTACCCTCTGCCCATGCTCAGGACAGCAGTTTCTCACAGTGAGGGGATCCCACCCCCATTCCTCACCCCTAATAGATCCCCACCCCAAAAGCTGCAGGACCTGAGTTCCACCTTTATGGAACAAGTCCAGCAACTTAAGGTGTTTATTGGTTTACTTAGCCCGTGAACGAATACTGACCCGGTACCCAAGGAATTCAGAACATTAACATTCTCAGATTCCTTTGTGTCACTTGGTTCTAGGGCAAAAGCACTCAGTTTTGGAGGGTGGGAAAAGATATTGAGGGAACAGGGAAAGGTGTAGGTGTCCTTGGATACCAGCTTCAAGCACAACCCTGTCTGGGCCAACCCTGTGTGCCTGACACAGCCAGGAGCACCAACAGGGGTTGGGGTGGGACGCTGATGGAGAGGACACCCATGTCCCCTTTATGGGGTGTCTTGAAGGGAGTGTCCTGAACCTCTGTAAGGGGAGCCAGCAGCAAACGTCTTGGCAAAGAGCAAGGCAGCAGCTAATACAGGGGGGAAATGCTATGAGCACTCTAAAAGTTGCCGCTGCTGTTAATTTTGCAGCCACTTTCTCAGAAAGTCTCCCCTGCCCAGGGAAGAAGTCTCCCTGTGCTCCCCACCAGCACTCACCACAGTGCCCCTTCCTCCAGAAGAACTCAAGGACCACGAGCCTGAGTGTAAGGCGGAGGAAAGCAAAGACAGAGCTCCAGCAAACAGACCCAGCACAGATTCAGAGGCCATTGCTGTTCAGAAATTTGCATCGGTGGTGGTAATTTCACGGGGAATATAACTGAGATTAGAAAGCATACATTGTAAAAAAATGAAGAATGATGTCAAAATATATAAAATTAAAAAAAAAGAATTAAGAAAAAAGGGGGCAATGTGCTGTGGAGGCACATGGGCACACACAAACACACAAACACACAGTAGCAGCAACACACAGGCTGCTCTATTTAACTCGCCTGACCCATATAACTGAGAGGGGTGATGTGTGACAGAAAATGCAAGTGAGGAGCTGTCCTAGACGATGCCTGTCCTTTCTAATAAGACTTCTATGTTTGTCAGAGGGACAATGGCTATGAAACACAATCCTGTTCATCTTTTTCTGAATATTCAATGAACCATAAAGAAAATCTTTCCCAGTGAGAAAGAATTTATGTGACTCTACCTTATGTCTGATAGACTGAAACTCCCTTACTAGTCATTGACCTAACACACAAACACGCACACACACACATGCACACGCACACACACACATGCACACCCATGCACATATATAGATACACCAGTTTATTCTCTTATATTTGTTTTTCCCTGTTAAAACAGAAATTCAAGATAGTAGACTGAGAAAGTTCTGTATTCAGTGATCATTTGTTCTCTGGTTAAAAGGAGACCAAGCCTTAGGCTAGCAGTTGATCAATGAAGGTTTGTTAAATAACTGTGAATGGTTGAATGATGATATTTAGATGAATGTGCTGGAACAACATAACAACTATTTGTAAAAACAATACTTCTCTCTGTGGAGGTGAATGTAATTTTTTCATGTGTTTCTCTTCCAGTATTTCATTCTGATGTTCATCGTCTATGCCTTTGAAGTGGCATCTTGCATCACAGCAGCAACACAACGGGACTTTGTGAGTATAGTCTCAAAAAGCATGGAGCCAAATAACCATATGAATCATCACCATTATTAGATCAACACTGTAACGACTGACATGCATTAGCACCTTACTCTGTACCAGACACTTAAAAATGTATAGTAATAGCACATATATCACTTTACTTAATCCTCACAATAACCTTATGAAATAGGTTATTATCAATATTGCCATTTTAGAGATTAAAAAACAGAGACTTAAAAAGGTAAACTAACTTCTCCAAGTTACATAGCTGGTAAGTGAAAGAGAAGAATCCTGAATCTTAGCAGTCTGACTTCTGCTGACTATCCCTGGCCTCACCAGAACCCAGATCTGGAAGCCCTCTGCTCTCTACAACTCTCTAGCCACTGAGTTCCCAATAGGATGATCCAAAATCCACCGATCTAAGATATCCTCTCAATTCAGCAGTCTGCTCAATCTTTTTCTTCATTCCAGGCCTCAGCCACCCTTCGATAACTGTCTAACCTGGTCTCACTGGGACGTTTTTTGAAGATGGGGGTCTTTTCCCTTCATGGGCATCTCAACCACCCATATCATCCTCACAACCAACCTTCAGCCCACAGAGCACAGTCTAACTCCAGGAGATGATGTTCAGTGTCTCCAGCAACAGGTTGAGCAAATCATTTTGCCTCCTTGGGGATTAATTGCCAACTCTCTCTCTTGCGTTTCCTCCTCCCACTGTAGTTCACACCCAACCTTTTCCTGAAGCAGATGCTGGAAAGATACCAAAACAACCATCCTCTAAACAATGATGACCAATGGAAAAACAATGGAGTTACCAAAACCTGGGACAGGCTCATGCTCCAGGTAATGCCTGCTGTCTTGGAAGGTGACATCTAAACCAATATTCAGGGGTGCATGAGTGGTTGGGGGTGAAGTCAGCATCCCGTGGGCTTTCCTTCTAAAAGAAACCTGACATAGGCAAGTTTATCTACTCTTATTTACTGGCAGGGCTCAGAAGTTGTATACATGAGTCAGCTGTCATTTGGAGATTTTTAGTAAATATAAGATATGGTACATTTTCCATACCTGCTTTGTACATGTAATCTCAGCTGTTACCTTGATGCAACTGGCAAGGGCCATGGAAGACAATTCTGTCTCTCTCGTCCTCTGACAGGACAATTGCTGCGGTGTACATGGTCCATCAGACTGGCAGAAATATACATCTGCCTTCCGCGCCAGGAATAACGATGCTGACTATCCCTGGCCTCGCCAATGTTGTGTAATGAACAATCTTAAACAACCTCTCAACCTGGAGGCCTGCAAACTGGGAGTGCAGGGTTATTATCACGATCAGGTGAGTTCTCTCTCCTCCTAAGGCCTGTAGATGATCCTGTTCTTCATGAGGAAATCACTGTTAACTGTGGGTAATATCCTCTCAGTAAAAAATTCTGCATCCTTTCTCCTAAATCTCATGTTAACTCTTTCCATCTGTTAGTAAAATGTGAATGCTAATCTAGAGCTAACCTGAGGAAAATTACATTTTAATAAAATTAACAGAACACAAATATTGCAATAGCAAACCAACTTTGTTCAAATGAAAATTTCCAAACCATTAAACAAAGGTGTGTTCTGCTAATTTTTGCAAAACAACATTTTTTGGTTCCAAAGTACTGGCAATTGCTGCAGATAACTGCAGAAATTATACATCCTCATTCCTTGGTCAGTTGGTAATGGAGCAAAGTCTTCATAAAGTATTAGAAGATGGCTTACATACAGATGTATGTAGAAAAGTTGTTTCTAGACTGATGAGGATGATATGATGATGAGCCACAGTGTGCTTGCAAGAGTGATTCATTTTTATTCATGGAATCATTCATTCATGCATGCCACAACCAATAAATTTTACATATGGTTCACCCTATTCTAGTCACTGTGCTGAAGTAACACATGGTGGATGACTGACCACCCAGAGTGACCTCTACTAAAGTCCTGAAATGTTAGTGAAAACTAACATTTATTGACACTTACCAAATGCCCAACACTGTTCCAAGTGCCAAACACATATTAACTTATTTAGTGCTCAAAGCAGGTACCACTATGCTCCTTATTTTATAGATGAGGAACAGAGACAGAGATGTTAATAAGTACTTTGCCCAAGGTCAGGAATCAAGCTCCAGCCGTCTGGCACGAGAGCTTAGGTTCAAAGCCTAGAAATAAATTGGTAATATTCCCCCAAAATCTCTGCTGAGAACCCATATACTTGTAGTAAGTCTCAGAAATGCTGTCTACTGCTTTTTGTCCACTGCCACTTTGAGAAAAGTTAGTTGAGTGCAGTTCAATAAACGAGAAGTATCAAGCTTGCTAATTTCGGAATACACCACAAATACAAGCTCATCACCACTCAATTTCCTGTTCCCCAACCAAATTCCAGCATCTTGAAAGTCTCTGTCTCTGATACCCTGTGCTCCTACTTTCTCAGTATCACTCATTCTTCACCCTTGACATAATCTTTTTTTTATTTTATTTTTATATGCTTTTCTGGTTCTCTCTATCCCAGTCCCCAAGATTCCCATGCCCCACCATCCCTCTAAGTGATAGATTTCTTTGATCCTCCTATAACAACCTTTTTCTACTAAGCAAAATATGCCACGTCAGTACCTCATATTCCCTACCTCTATTATTTTATTTGACACTTTGAATCATGTTATAGTTATTTGTTCACAAGTCTATTCTTTCCTATGAGTTTCCTTGAGGGCCATGCATTTTTCAGTGATTTATCTTTTGAACTTAACATAATGCCTGGCACAAAGCAGGCACAAATAAATACCTGGTGGCAGGTGAATGAGGAGGTAAGTGATTCTTTCTCACATCCATTTTGGTGCTTTTCTAGAGCTACAATGCACAAATCAATGCTAACAGAATAAGGAAAATCATCATAAGTTTGGTAAAAATAGAAATCAACCAAAATTCACATAGCACGTTATACATACGTACATACAAACATACATACATACATACATTCTGCTGATCACTATACCTCAAGAACATTACAGTGGAACTAAGGAAGATAAATGATTAAAAAAAGAAAGCATTGTGAAGAGCACTAAATGAGATGAGGTGAAAAACAAAAAAACTAGGGCTTTTGTCTGAGCTCCATGAGGGCAAAACCCAGCGCCTGACACCAGACCTAAGCAGGATCTTCCACACGCTGACAGAGGAATGATCTCCCAGGATTGCTGGGAGAATCAAGTGGGCAATGGATATGAGTGTTTGTGAACCAAGCACGTCACAAGTGATTATGTTATAATCACTACTTCCTTAGAAGTGCCTGTAGAGGCAGGAACTGGACACGGGGCAGGTTTTCTGATCCCATGCAGACCGGGTAAAGGAGGAGTGAGAGTCCTCAGTAGTTTTGCAGGTTTTTTATTGGGGTTCACCAGGCATATGGCAGGCAGGGGTGCTGGCTGGGGGGCTGGGAGGCTGGCAAGCCTGCCAGCCTCCCAGCCCCCAGCAAGTCTTCACTCTATCTGGGCTCTCTGGCATTCGTTCTGCTGCTTCTCGGCTTCTCTTTTGGCTTCTGCTTTGACTTCTACTGCTGCTGCTGCTGGCATCCCCTTGATGCCGCCCTTAAAAGCACAGTCTTAGCCCAGGTGAATCCCATCTACCTATGCCCACACCCTACTCCAGGTGCCCGCCATCAGGCATGCATTCAGGACAAGGATCCATCATCTATCCTGATGGCAGAAGGGCAGAAAAGCCTGACATTTTCTTTACCCTACAGTGCCATTTAGCTTATCAGTGTTTATTAGGTGTGTACTTCTGCTCAAGCATTGTTCTAGGTTTAGAGATTCAATAATGCACAAGTGTAAAGTCAGGAATGGGCCACTGAGCAGGTTTTCTGATCCAGCAGACCAGGTAAAGGAGGAGTCAGAGTCCTCAGTGGTTTTTTGCAGGTCTTTTATTGGGATTCAGCGGGTACGTGGCAGGCAAGGGTGCTGGGGGGCTGGGAGGCTGGCAGTCCTCCCAGCCCCCAGCAAATCTTCACTATCTGGGCTCTCTGGTGTTCTCTGCTTCTGCTTCAGGCTGCTGCTTCTTTCGGCTTCTACTGGCGTCCCCGTGACACCACCCTTAAAAGCACAGTCTTAGCGCAGGTGTACCCACTTCAGGTGCCCGCCATTAGGCATGCATTCAGGATCACAGGGTTCCCTCATCTATCCTGATGGCGGGAGGGCAGAAAAGTCTGATTTTTTACCTTACCCTACAACAAGATAAAAGCTGTGCCCTGGTAGAGTTTGTACTTGGAGACAGACCACAAAAAAAAATTACCAAACAAATATATGGCAAATTCCAGGTAGTGATAAATGCCATGAGCAGAAATAAAGCGGGTTAAGAATATGGAGAATGATGGAGGAAAGAGTATTTTTCTATGTGGTTGTCAGGAAAGGCTTAGTTGAGATATTTATACTGAGGTCTGTATTAAGTGAGGAAGTGAGACCCTCATTTAAAGAAGATTAGGAAAGAGCTCTGAACAAAGAAAGCAAATAAGTGGAAAGGCCCTGAATTAGGAGCATTCTTAGCTTCATGAAGGAACATCAAAAAGATTAGTATGACAAGGTAGAATGAATGAAGAGTGGAAGTCAAGGGTGGACCTAGATTTTGTAGGAACTGAAGTTTATAAAATTTAGAAAGGAAAAAACAATGAAAAATGTGTACACAAAATTAGTAACAGGGCTTTGACATAGTTCAACAGCTAAGCAGCCCTGGTGTTGAAGCTCACTACATTTATAGTGAGACACCTGGGGTGGTGGCAGCTGGCTTCATGGAGAGGTGGTGCCGTATTTTACAGAGCATCACAGGCCAGTGTGAGGACCAGGGCTTCATTTTAAAAGTGGTGGGACTTGGGCCTCCCCGGTGGCGCAGCGGTTGAGCGCTGGGTTGCGAAGCTGCCCGCAGCCTCTGCGGCGCCGGTTCGATCCCCGGCTGCTCCCCGGCCACCAGAGGAGGGTCCCACATGGCGCGCTGCTCCCCTCAGCAGTGTACTTCGGTCCTTCTGCCTGCTCTGCTCCCCACTCCGGCTCTGGTGAATTCTCTCACCCTCCCGCGCTTCTGACTGTACCCAGTGCTTGTATAAACAACAAACAAATAAATAAATAAATAAAACATGCCTCTATAAAAAAAAAAAAAAAAAGTGGTGGGACTTAATGTTTCTGTGTCCTTTGGGTAAATATCTGGGAGTGGAATTGCTGGATCATATGGAAGCTCTATCTTTAGTAGGTTGAGGAATCTCCACACAGCTCTCCATAGTGGTTGGACCAGTTTGCACTCCCACCAGCAGGAATAAGACTAACTTTAATAACGAAAAAATCAAAATCAACAAGTAACTATAAACCAGAGACACACTACGTGGGTGGGGTGGGGGGACCGGAGAGGAAGGATTAGGGTCAAAATAAGGGGGGTGCAATTGTATGGGGAATATAATCAAAATGAAAAAGCATACATTGTGCAAAGATGAAAAATGATGTAAGAATTATAAAATAAAATATTTTTAAAAAATTAAAAAGTAAAATAAAAGTGGTGGGACTATGTTGACAACACCTGAGAGGAGAAATTCCATACTGTCAAAAAACGAACAATGATGTAAGAAAAAGGGACTGCATTACAAAATAGATTTAAATAAATACATAAAAGTGGTGGGAAGTCATTTTTTTTTTTTTTGAGCAGAGATAAAAAGTGACCTGATATACATTTTAAAGGATCACTGTGGCACTGTATGAAGACTAATAGGGTGCATACAGTAGAATCAGGCCTCAGGGGACCCATTAGGAGGCTATTGTTATCATCCTGGAATGAGGCCATGGTGGACCAAGGTGGTAGCAGGAAGTGGTAAGAATTTGAATTTGAGATGTATTTGTAAAGTAGGCCCAAAAGGATTTGCTCAATGTTTGATTTCAGATAACAGAAAAACAGTTAATACAGGATAATACTGAGGTTTTCCATTTGTGCATCTAAGTGAATGGAAGTACCTATAATGTAAATGGAGAAGAATAGGGCCTCCCCTGGTTGAGCACAGCGCTGTGAAGCTGTCCACAGCCTCTGCAGCACTGGTCAATCCCAGCCAGCTGGCAAGGGTCCCACATGGCATAGCTGAAGTCTCCTGTCGTGCCCGCTGCTCCCCTCCGCAGGGTATTTCATCAGTCTGCCTGTTCTGTTACCTGCTCTGTCTCTGGTGAATCCTTTCACCCTCCCATGCATCTGGCCTGTAACCCAGTTCTTGTATAAATAAATAAATCTTTAAAAATAAATAAATAAATGGAGAAGAGTAAATGAGGAGAGAAATCAAGGCATAGCAAAGGCAGGGCATATGGGTGGGCTAACAAGGGACTAGTCAGGAAAGACAGAACCTCAAGTGACCACCTGCAGCCACTTCAAATTCTTTACTAGGATATTCCCTGTGGACTTCAGTGGTTCAGCCTGGGTTTTGCATTTCCCACACATTCTCTGTGGTTCTCAGGACTTTAGTAGAGGTCACTCTGGGTGGTCAGTCATCCACCATGTGTTACTTCAGCACAGTGACTAGAATAGGGTGAACCATATGTAAAATTTATTGGTTGTGGCATGCATGAATGAATGATTCCATGAATAAAAATGAATCACTCTTGCAAGCACACTGTGGCTCCTTACGCTCTCACTAGAATCCAATAGAGAGATGTTGAAAGCAATTTTATCTAAAAATAATTATGAGGGCCTCCCCAGTGGCGCAGCCATTGAGCGCTGGGTTGCAAAGCTGCCCACAGCCTTTGCAGCACCGGTTCTATCCCCGGCTGCTCCCCGGCCACCGGAGGAGGGTCCTACATGGCATGCAGACCTCTCCTGCCGCCTGCTGCTCCCCTCAGCAGTGTACTTCGGTCCTTCGCCTGCTCTGCTCCCCGCTATGGCTCTGGTGAATTCTCTCACCCTCCCACGCTTCTGACTGTACCCAGTGCTTGTATAAATAAATAAATAAATCTTTAAAAATAAATGAATAAATAAATAAATAAATAAAAATAATTATGGGCCTCCCTGCTGGCCCAGGGGTTAAAGTCTCAGCACTGTGAAGCTATTGGCAGCCACTGCAGCACAAGTTTGATCCCTGGCCAGGAAACTAACCCACATGACACAGCAGGCCTCTCCTGTCTTGCCCACTGCTCCCCTCAGCAGTGTATTTCAGTCAATCGGACTATTCTGCTCCCCGCTCTGTCTCTGGTGTATACTCTCATCCCCACTGCACCTCTGACCTACACCCCAGCTCTTATATGCATAAATAAATAAAATAAATCTTTTTTTAATAAATAAAAAATAAACAAATCAAAAAGTAACCTTGTGCTCAAGCAAATCACCAACAAAATCTTTTAGAAAAGAAAACAATTCACATTTTAAAAATACTTTACACTGTCCATGTATTCAATACACAAAAATAATGCTATGCTGAAATAGCAGCACCTTTGTTAGACTATTTCCTCAGCAAAGCAATGTTAAACTGGCTGCCTCCCAGGGTGTGGAAATAGCTTAGTTATACAGAGTGTCGGATTTTGGAGTGGCTGATTCAGTTAACAATCTATTTTCTTGCCCATCTTTTTTCTTTTTCTGGTTCTTCTCACATGGGTGTGAAATTGGCCATCCCTCTAGGGCTGCTATGAACTGATCTCCGGACCAATGAACCGGCACGCCTGGGGGGTTGCCTGGTTTGGATTTGCCATTCTCTGCTGGACTGTGAGTACTGCTAGATATGTTTTATTTCTGAGAGGATGGTAAGGAGAGACCTTGAGAATACCCCTGCTTAAAACCAGCCACACTAGGCTTCTATGGGAACAAAACCTTGACTGAAGAACCTGCTGGCCCTGGAGCAAAGACAATAGACTCCCTTTGGAGGGGGATGTTAACTTCCCCTGCCTGGAAGAGGTATACCCTACTTCCCAGATCTTCCTGGTTGACTGAGATATCCTTGCCTTCCCTCTCATGACATGTCAAAGACTGACATCTCTCTAGATGGCTCCTTCCAAAGAGCTGCCTCCAGCAGTGCCATTTGTCTTTCTGCCCACTTTCTCTGATGCACATGCGTCAAGAGCTAGAGTGGTCTTCCTCAGCCCTAGCTGCCAGTAATACCTCCTGAGGGAGCTTGGGGGCCCAAAGAGGGCAGTGGCGCCTTCCTGAACCCCAACCTGACTTTCTGATTCAGTCGATCTTATAGCAAGGCCCACACTTTTATTTTTTTTTAATTTTCCAGTTGATTCTAATTTGCTATCAGTATTAAGAACCATTACATTCAGGAAGTAGCCCTGAACTTTTAGATTCAAAGCCCCTTTACTCTCTCAAAAATATTGAGGCCTCCAAAATGCTATTTTCTATTGATAGTATAACCTATTAGAAATTAACACCAAAAAATTTAAATGCATACTAATTTATTTAAAATAACAATGAATCAATTGCCCGTTAGCATTAATAAAATATTTTTGTGGAAAAGATGACTACTTTCCAAAACAAAACAAAAAAAATAGCAAGAAAAGTGGCATTTTTTTATAATTTTGTAAATCCCTTCAATTTCTGGCGTAAGAGAAGACAACAGGGGTCTTATATTTGCTTCTTCATTCAGTCTGTTATATGTTGCTTAAGTGGAAGGATTTGAAGAAAACCCGTTCCCCACATATATTTAGTTGAAAAAAATCATCTTACCTAAAGATTATTGTGACTATTCTTCCTTGACACTATAAAAAAACTTGACAAATAGTCATCTTAAAGGTTATTTGCACTATGCAATCTGAAACGATGTCAACAAATTTTTCAGACACTGAAATACATTACATTGATTTGTAAAGCACTTGCATAACTCTTCTTTACCCAGTTATGGTTCTATAACATCATGCATTAACTATTTGGGGAAATGTTGATATTATGCAGAACTCCCAGTATTGGCCAATTTCCTTATGCAATACCCAAACCTCATATTTATTGAAATTGCTACATTGAAAAGATGTTAAGCCAATATTGGGATGCTATCAAGTTTGTAGTGGTGGATGCAATTTTTCTGACATTTGCTTGAAAGTCAAATTTATCATTGGCAACAAATATTGTCAGTTGTTTTCCTTGAAGTGACAGATTATAAATTTTCAAGAAAATGTCTGCTAAACTCCCAACTCTAAATAGCCATAGCTTGTCTATTAGTCATTTTTTTTTCAAACGAAGATAATGTTTCATGAAGAATGGTTAGTTCACACAGCACTTTTCCTTAAGACAACTGTCCTATTTCAATATGCAACAAAACTGCTTTTATACATACTTCCTTTTCATCATACAGAGTATAAAATTGATGTTCACTCAAAGGTGAACATTTAATAAAATTAGTAATTCTCACTACTTCATCAAAGACAATCTCATAGCCTTTAAGTATGACTACTAATAGTTTAGTGCCTCTGCCTTGATTCTTACTAAGATACCTCTAGTTTTACTTACCTCTGCTTTTGCACCTTCAGTACAAAAAGTGGAAACAGCAAAAAGGGCAAACAAGTCTTATATTATTATGCAAACAGTCTTGACATCACGGACCCCTGAACAGGTCTTTTAGGGGCTTGTGCATCTTTTAAGAAATGCTGGGCTGGGAGTGAGAAACTGGGTGAGGCAGGAAAAAAGGGAATATCAGTTCCTACAGGTCTTCTATGATTCCTGGATCCATCCTCCTTGGGACACCCCATGTACTCCTCTGTCATAGTCACTCTACTGTGAATTCTCTGCCAAAGCCTGCAAGCTGCTCCCTGTATCCACAGTGCCTAGCAGAGCACATAATACATGCTTGCTGACTTGTTGAAAGAATGAAAATTTTAACAGCGAAGTTTCTATTCGTGCCATGTTTGCAAGAGCTAGGGGATAATATTTAAAGTCTTTTCAGACTCTTAGAACTCTAGACCAGCTGAAACCTTTAATATTTGCACAGACATCAAATGGACTCTGGATGCCCTTGAAATTCAAAGGAAGGAAGGGAACTGAATGTGTTGAGGGTCTGCTACAGACAAGGTATCATATCCAGTACTTTGAACTCAAAATCTCTACAATGGTAGCTAGGTAGGTAGCCAGTCTCTCATCTTGCAGAATGAAAAATTCATTGTTTCTTAGAATTGCGCTTAAGAAAAGCTCTCTAGGCATGTCCAGCTCGTTACTGATTACAGAGGTGCTTTCCTAAAATGGTAAATTCAACACTGAAGCTGACTGCTTGGGTTCAAATCTCAGCTTTACCACAACTACTTCAGTGACCTTAAGTAGATTGCATATCTTCTAGCCTCAGTCTCTTTGTAGGGCTTGGAAGCATTAAATTGAACTACATGCATAGCACTTAGAACAATGACTGATGCATAGTGAATTATCAATAAACATTAAACTTTATTATTCATTATCTCATCCAATCTTCTCTTAGATAGGTGAAGAAGATATTATTATTTTATAAATGCAGGGAGTATGTGGAAGATTTACAAACAAAACTCAGATATTCTAACTTAGCTGAATCACATAGCTTGAGTTCTCTTCTCTTTAGGGGTAACCATTCCAGGTCATGAGCATTTCTGGGATAAGAAAGCATCCCCTAGTAGGAGAGGTTCAATACTAGACATGAAACTTTTTTCCCAAAATGGTACATACTGTAAATAGGAATCCACTAAAGGCTAATTAGCCCTGAGAGAAAGAAGGAAGAATTTCCCCAGGGGCAATTTAGCAATGAGTTAGGGTGCAGATTGTGGTAGGAAAGTAGGAAGTGGTAGGAGGGCTTGATGTTGTCTAAGACAAGATTATTCTTGCAAGTTAAATGCAGATTAAAACGACAAGGAGATACCACCTCACACCAGTGAGAATGACACATATGAAAAAGACCTTCAGACCTCTGTACTGGAGAGGATGCAGAGAAAAAGGATGCAGAGAAAACCCTGTTACACTGTAAGAATGTAAACTGGTACAACCATTATGGAAAGCAATCTGGATTTACCTTTTAGAAAACTGAAAATGGAAATACTGTAGAACCCAGCAATCCCACTCTTGAGCATCTATCTAAAGAATATGAAACCATCAACACAAAACCCCATATGCTCCACAATCTTCACAGCAGCATTTTTTTTTTAACAATAGCTAGGACGTGGAAGCAGCCTAAATGCCCGTCAACAGATGACTGGGTCAAGAAGATGTATACCCACACTATGGAGAACTATTTAGCCATTATGCATCATTTCTCACAGAATGGAGGGAATTTGAGAGAATTGTGTGTAGCAAAGTAAATCAGAATGATAAAAACAAATATTGGACTTTTACATAGCGGACGATTGGATAATATAAGACTCTTTCAACAGCAAGTAGACATAAGTAAACATCCTGAGAGCCCTGAGGTTAAGAGGCAGGGATGAGGGAAGGGGCCAGGGGAATAGAGGGATGGTGGTGGGGAAAACAAAAGAATTGTGCTTCCTCTGAAAGCACTGCATGCCTGCCGAGGGAGGAGACCCTGACCAACCTCACCTGTAATACTTAATTGTGATCATGCTCAATTGTGTATTATCTCTTTAAATCATCACAAAAAATTATTAATCTTAAAAATCCAATACACCTAAAGCCTCAACAAACCTGATGACATTTTCCCCCAAGTATGAGATGTTTCTGAAACCAATCCCTTGTTCATTTTTCCTTTGTTTTTTGTTTTTTTCTCTTTGCATTCTAGTTTTGGGTTCTTCTGGGTGCCATGTTCTACTGGAGCAGAATTGAGTATTAAGAGTACAGTGTCACCGCCCAAGCGCCTTCCCCCAGTGACTCAGGGGCTGGTGCTGGAAGTGCTCTCTCTTTTTATTCCACATCCGTGCCACCTGGAAACGTGTTCATTCTTACACAAATTGCCAAGTGAGGTGGTGTGGCATTTCTTTCGACTCCTGGGCTCCCGGCAGTTTCACCACTCATGTTTTCACTCTGGACCAGGACTCTGCAACACTTTCATGACTGAAGAGACAGGGAGAGTTTAGAAAGTAGAAAATAACAGTTCCCATCTCTGCTTACATTTAATTTCGGGATTTAATGACATTCAAAGGAACCTGTGTTATTACAGAAAGTCAAGTCTGTATTTGGATAACAAATGTGCCTTTCTTTCTTAATACTTTCTAAAAGAAGCCTTCAAAGACGCATGCAGCTTAACAGTGTCTGGGTAAGAGAACTAAGGAAAGGGTTGCTGAAATACGTCTTTTGCCTTTTGTTCTATGGTGGCTCCTACCTAAGGAGACGGGATGGTGATCTCTCAATGCCACCTTGGGATGCTTTTATTCTGCAGAACAATGCTCATCTTGAGTTAACAATGGATGAAATTTCCTCTCAGATGCTGTAGTTTAGTAATTCTCCCATGTGTTTAGTAATATGTGTTTAGTAATTTCCCATGAATTAAAAAATATGTGTTTTTGGGGGGAACAAGTAGGAGCCTGTTACATATTTACCAGTCTCAACTTGAAATACCTTTTAAACAGGGGAGAAACCAGCCAGCCAGTAGGTGGATCATTTATGGTGACTTTTTTCTACTGTCAAAATATTTCTTTTCTAAACTGTTTCTATTTGTGGTCCTGAAAGAGATTGTTATAACTCAACATTTGTTTAACTAGTATTATAAATAAAGGCAAATTTTAAATATGTTTACTTTCTTTTATTTTTTTCCAGTGTCATAATTGATCATATGAGTCTAACCAAATGAGTTTTCCAACAAAGAGCATTCTCAGGCTCCTGAGAATTCAAATTTAGGAGACGGGAGAGGCAATAGTGGGTGGTTTCCGGCCAATGCTGGTAACCCTGCTGTACAGTTAAATGGTTAGAACTTCTGTGTACTTTTAGTTTTCACTCCATTACACTTAGCTCAGAAGTGGTGGTGGAGATGCTGTTCTTCAAATCCTTTCTCTCCTATACTTAGAAACAATGGAAGCATCTCCATCTCCAACTGTCAAACTCTGTCCCCTATGAAGAAAATATAACTGTCATTTCAGGGTCCTACCACCCATCTCACACCCTGACCATGTTCCAGGGAGTTAGACCGAGCCCTGGGCAGTGGACAGTGGAGGGACAAGGGAGTAGCAGTGGGGTTGGGGAGGGTGTGTGTGAAGGGGTGGGGAGTGGCACTCCTCTCTCATGTACTGGGGTAAAGCTGAGGAGACTGGGGGTAGCAATTCTCATCCTTGAATCCTAGGAGACTGGGTCATAGGCACTCAATCAACTTGTCCTGCCCTGCTTCATTTTCTCTCTCCAAGACAGGGCTTGTGGTGGTCAAGATAAGTGGCAGCTGCCCTTGGCTGAGAAGGCTCTCTGTGATCTTTTCAGAGAGGAAGAGGAAGAAGGAGTGCCCTTTACTCTGGGCAGACTTTGAAATGCCACCCTCCCATCTTTGTTTTCATAATCTCCTGTGTTCTCAGTCCTTTCTCTTCTACTTCTAACTAGTTTATCCAGTGCCTTCACTCTCCAGCTGAGCAAATCCTGCTTCATACCCACTCTTGCCTTCTTCTCCAGGACTTCATGCTCCAAAATCTTCTTTACTATAAATCTTTATCCTTATACTATAAATCTTATATATACTATAAATACTTTATACTTTATACTATATACTTTATACTATATACTTTATACTATAAATCTCAGCTAGGTTGATGGAAAGCCTTTTTTCAATCTAATTCATACTAAAGGGTGAGTGACAACTAGGCCCCACTTTAAATTTTCTCTGCAGATTTTCCTATAACTAAAATTCAACTAAAATTCCTATAACTAAAATTCATCTTAGAAGACACACCTTTCAGCTGAGGCAAACCCAGACCTGAGGATTCCCCTGCAGAGTCCAACCATTCAGGATTCCTGCGCTAGTAGCCAGGGACTGTTCATTTAACCTCAAAGTGGTTTCTGCCAAGACCAGTCCTGTTTCTGACCCCTCTACCTTCCCAGGGAGCCCAGCCATCCCCTCTTCCTTCTAGTTCCAGGAACTAAAAGTGGGGTTCACAGTGAGACACAAGTCGCTGTTCAGGGAAAATTCTAGGCCCAGTTCCATCAAAGCCATCTCCAGCCCCACCACCCCAGGAAGGGGAAGGAGAGTAGGACAGCTGGGTTCTGGGGAACTGCTGGATTGCTGGACGGGTCTACTGTCTTACGAAACTTCCCACTTCCTCAACAGTCATTCAGCATGCTTATTAGGTAGTAAAGAACAATTACTATCTAAACCAAAAATATGACAGGTTGACTCAGAGTTTTACTTGATTGCGACAGTGGATGGGGTCATCACGCTCCCTTGGTTGTTTCCTTCCCAGATTGCCACTCAGGTTCCATGCTCACCTGGGTGGCTGTCTACACTAAGCATTAGAAAGTCCACTCAGTTCCTATCTGTCAACCCTGTAATCTTTTCTTTCTACACGAGCTGGAATAAACAGACTACTATCCAAAGCAGCAGGGCAGGTACTTTCTGGCTACCCATAAATGAAAGAATAAAAATAGTCAGGTGAATTTGACAGTCTTAGGTCCTTTCACTCCCCAACCCCAACCCACTAATCTGATTTGACAGTGTCTATTTTGAGTGTGGCTGTGGTTGAGAAACTGGAAACTGCTGGTTTCTCATTTCTATTGACTGAACAATTTCCTTTTTCTTTCTGTATCTGGTATTTCCTCTAGTTTTTCTTTTCTGCTTCACCTGGTTGCTTACCACCTCCTATAGGAGAGACTGAATTATGTTAATGGATTTTGATAGGGAGTGTATATATGTATAAAATGTGGGGCAAGTGTCTGTTTTAAGTCTGATAAGAAATGTCTGTCATCTTTCCCAAGAAAGAGTCACAGAGCATGATGGGCCTCCAGGAAATATGTCCAATAGGAGCTTGAGTAGAAGTGATGGGGTTAAGGGCCAAAAAACCAGGGAGGAAATCTGGAAAAAAGTTTAGGGAGGCCAAATGAGAATGGAACATAGTTTTCAGGATCCAGAAGACACCAAACTTGCCTAGGAGATAGGGCAGGGCTATATAGATTCAGGAAAACTATTTCAAAGAATGAGAGAAGCCCACTATGAGTTTGCACTCACACCACCACCTACTAGCTATGGGGAGGCTGGCAGGCCCCCGCACCTGTTCTGAACTCCCTCATTAACCCTGCTTAAGAGTCAATAGACTGAATAATATGTGTCTAAAAACACTGAAAACTCTAAAGCACCATAAATGAGTGGGAAAAAAATCAGTAAAAACTTTGAACTAGTGCACTCTGTAAGTATTTGTGATATCCAAATAGACTGCACCCAAATAATCCCCAGCAATAATAGTAGACAAGCTTTAAAGTAAAGAAAGCTTGGCCTCTTTGTGACAACTGACAATGAAAAACAGGGCAGGAATTAGGGCGGCTCAGCGCAGCTGAGGACTAACTCTCCTGTCCAGCCGAGAACAGGAGTTGGCAGTGAAGCTGGCAGGCAGCCCCTTGCCTTGAGCCCAACCCTGGATTCTGACCCCAGGGCAGGAAAAGCATCACAGTGAGGAAGTGAAGGCAGTAAAAATTATCTTTCACATCAAGAAATTTCATAATGAGTCATCTAAGTGACTTGTACATTATCCTGAATTATCTAAAGAACAGTAATGGGCATGGTACAGTGGGTTCTACCATATTAAAAATCACAGATGCTTTTTTAAACACTGAAAATATACAGGGAGCTTTCCACATGGTAGTAGCTGTATTTTGTTTCCATTGAATGACAAATTGAGTTCCCAAATATAGATCCTCAAATTCCTTATACACAGCATTCTCATGCTTTACCCTCCATCCCCAAGAAGACCAGGTTGGGGATGCCTGGCATAGGCTGTTGGCAGTTACAACAGTTCAGTTATATATGTTTTAATTAAGAAAATTGGGACTGTATTCTAGCAAAAAAAAAAAAAAGTCTGCAAAAAAGAATGTGAACATCAAGGGGTGGGGGTGGGGGATATAAAAAAAAGTATTTGCTAAATAAAGACACCACTTTTACTTGTCCCCAAATTAAAGATAAAACAGACCAGTCTGAGGTAAACCTGTCATGTCTAGAAAGACAGAGAGACAGATAGATAGATACAGAGATATCCTTTCAAAGTTTCCTTCCTTACTTGGGAGATGACTCTTATCTTTCTTGAGTAACCCCAAGCCCTCCTATTTCTTCCCTCTTCCCTTTGGAAAGGATATTACTTACCCTTACTGGTTGGCACTCATCATGCTAAAGTTTAAGTTTCATATAACAATGATGGATTGAGAGACCCTGGGGCACAGCTGCTTAATACTTCCTGAAGAACATCCACATCTATCTACATTACACATGTCTGTTCCTCTGTGCAAACACAATACTCTTAGTCCTGACCCGTATCCATCTCCCACTGCCTTCCTTAGCCTACCCTCCCACACCCCTGACCCGCCCAAGGGAGCTCAGCAGTTCTGGTGGCTTCTTCCCTAAATCACTGCTGTTGCCCCAGTCTGTGCCATGGCCCCACTTACTTCCAAATCAAAGGCTTCCCAAGTCTAGGCAGAGGAGCCCAGTCCTCCAGAGGCCAGGACCTATCAGGTGTGCCCATATTCGGCCTTGCTGTGCCCATTACTGATCCTGGCAAAGGGGCAGACAAAAGAATGAAGAGAAGAAAACCATGATGTGATGTAGGAAATGAGATGCAAAGGCACCCGCCAGGAAAGGATCTTACACTCACAGCAGAGGAGCAGAGGAGGAAAAAGAGAGAGTAAAAGGGGTTGGTCTCACCTGTTTTGTTTTTAAGCTGTTTAGGGTTATCAATGCTGAAATGAATGTATCTTAGGCCTCAAGTAAGAAACAAGACTGAGCACCTGATGCTTTTTCATCTTTTACTATTATTGTTTTGTGATTTGTAAACAGCGACACCATACCCTACATATACAAAATCGTTTTACAAAAATGCTTAAAAAACTAGTAGATTCTCTGCTGGGCTGGTCCTGGAAGGCACCTCTGGGCAGGGGACACCCCAGTCACAGCAGGAGCAGCAGCCGCCAGCGTAACTGCAGCGGCCTCTTCGTCTGACCCGGGCCTCTGTCTCCTCTTTATCTCCAAGGTCACTGCATCTTGATTCTTCACCTTTCTCCCCTCTTCTGTGACCTTCTTTTCATCTCTTCACAGGTGATCATGCAGAATAAATCACAGAAATGTGTGTTCGTACCTTTCTACCTGGGAGTAGAATAATTCTGGTTCTCTGGGAGCATTCAGCTACTTTATTTCCCTTGGCTTTTTTCTCAAGCAGCCTTCACATATCCTTTGAGTAGTCCTTTTACACTTAGTCCTTCAAGTATTTACATCACAATATTTAATCCCCATGATCAAAACAACTGAGAAAGCAGTCTTGTTACAATTGTGTTTACATTCCATATCACCAAGAACTCTGCTACGAAAATACAAAAAGGAAAAATTCAGCTGAATAATTAGCTCCAACAAGTTCTTAATGTGAACGATCAAAGGAAGTCTCTGGGTCAAAATTATTGCAATCAAATATTCAGTTCTTCTGAACGTCACCAGATTCAGGGTCATGGGTCCGACCAGAAATCCACTGTGAGGTTAATATAGAGAGGATTGTAATCTACAGAGAGTAGCTTATAAATACAACTTGACAACCCATCTGTTCTCCACACTTTTGACACCTGATGTAAGAGCTTCATCCTAAAGATAAAAAAGAACAAATGTGAATAAAACTTTAACATATATTTCCATTGCATTTTTCCTTGCCACAAAATATGGCCAAAGCATTTTGTAATTATTTCATCGATTGGATTTTCTACTGCAAAAAAAAAAAGGGTTTATTTTCCCTATGTAGTGTAGCACATAACAGACACCATCATGGTCATGTATTCATGTGTCAGACCCCACGTAAGACCCTGAAGAACTAATGATCAAAGGAGTCAATACAAGCAGTGTCAACAGAAGAAGTACAAGTGACACTGATTAGATTGATATGTGTCATCCACTGCTAACAGGCCCTACCCTAGGAGGTGCTTCAAGGGATCTATGAATCCTCCAGGGCTGTGTCTGTGGGCAGGGAGGGCACACAGCTTTCAGGACAGTCTCCAAGTCAGGTAAGCAGAGGAGAAGGATGAAGGGGCACCTGGCTTCAGAAGGGAGTCTGCAGAGGGGTTAGAGAGAGGTAAATCTGAGACTTAAAAGAGGAGAAATTCACCATGTGAAGAAGGTAAGTGCAAAGGACCCCCAGACAGAGAGCCCAGCCTGTGCGAGATGTACGCACACGCGACAGGGCAGCTTGCGTGTGGAGCACAGCCCTTGGCATGGCTGCAGTCCCCAGGTGTAGGGGAGGAGTGGGTGGTGAACTGAAGTGGTCTCAGGGAGCTTGGCAGTGAAAAGCAGTAAATTTGGTGACAGTAACTGTGGCTAGAAAGCAAAAGCATAATGTTGAGCTAAATAAAGTCAGAGAAAAATAATACAGTGTAATTTCACAATCTTTTATGTAGGGATACAAACATATAGGAAAATAAGAAAACCATCCGATAGCAGAAATAATGATCATTATCACAAAAATTCAGGAAACTGTTACCATTTGGGTGGTTTAGAGGGTTTAGGGAGGGCCACACAGGTAATGGGCATAAATTGGGTGTGGGGCCTCTCTGGTGGCACAAGGGGGTAAGCACCGCACTATGAAGCAATCCACAGCCTCTGTCTGCAGCACGAGTTCAATCCCCGGCCGGCCAGGGAGAAACCCACATGGCAAGGCAGACCTCTCTTGTCTCGCCCACTGCTCCCCTCAGCAGTATCTTTGGTCCGTCTGCCTGTTCTGTTCCCTGCTCTGTCTCTGGTGAATCCTCTCACCTCCCGCATCTCTGGCCTGTACCCCAGCTCTTGTATGCATAAATAAATAAATCTTTAAAAAAAATAAATTGGGTGGGGACACCTTGTTCATAGTTTCACAAACCTTTAGACTTTCCAAATAATTTTTTTTTAAAGATATATTTACTGGGCCTCCCCGGTGGCGCAGCGGTTGAGCGCTGGGTTTCGAAGCTGCCCGCGACCTCTGTGGTGCCAGTTCAATCCCCGGCTGCTCCCCGGCCACCAGAGGAGGGTCCCACATGGCGCGCAGACCTCTCCTGCCGCCCGCTGCTCCCCTCAGCAGTGTACTTCGGTCCTTCTGCCTGCTCTGCTCCCTGCTCTGGCTCTGGTGAATTCTCTCACCCTCCCGCGCTTCTGACTGTACCCAGTGCATGTATAAACAAAACAAACAAACAAACAAACAAATAAATAAAACATGCCGCTAAAAAAAAAAAAAAAGATTTATTTACTTATACAAGAGCTGGGGTACAGGCCAGAGGCGCAGGAGGGTGAAAGATTCACCAGAGACAAAGTGGGGAGCAGAACAGGCAGACGAATCAAAAGCACTGCTGAGGGGAGCAGCGGGCAAGATAGGAGAGGTCTGCCGCATCATGTGGGAATCTCCCTGGCCGGCCGGGAATTGAACCCATGCTGCAGAGGCTGCGAACAGCTTCATAGTGTTGCATAAGGATGATCGAAAGGTGACCTGAGGATGGCAAGGAAAAGGGCTGACCGAAACACTACGCAGACTAGCGTGTGCCAGGGTGGAAAACCGCCTGGGAGGAATGCCCTGTACTTGTGCCGTCCTTGGAAGTCTCCTCAGTCATAACTTAGCAACAGAGGCTCACAAGAACAGGAATGGCCGATAAGCCCAAGGTCTCACATACATGGCATGCTTGAGCTCACGTACATGGAGTGCGAGGCAAGGTTGTTTTGCTTTCTCTGACTTATGATAAAACTCAGATGTCCTTATTCACAATTCCCATATAACCATAATGAGAAAAACAGAGAATCCTGCTTGTAGCTGACAGCAGTCCCCCATATGGTGGGTCCTTCGCGATCAGATTCCCAGGTCTCAAAACCCACTAGAGGCTCACACATAGCACTCTGCTCAACCTGCTGCGCCACTGGGGAAGCCACCAAATAATTAATAAGTATTCTTTTGTATCCATTCAACATTTCTTTTTAAGTTGAAGAGACGAAAGCACACTGGTAGACAAAGAGTAGAAGGCTACATGGGAAAAAAAAGTCATTTTGTTAAAGTGGCATATTCTAACAAAAAGCCTAAATGCCTTAACATTGTTGTAAAATGCAGACTCTAACAAAAGAGCTACCAGCCATTTAATATTGTTTTAAAATTTAGCGGGGGGGGGGGGGGGGGGGGGGGAGCTACTAATGTAACTTCTTTTCATTAGTCACAGCCCCAAAAAAGAAATAGTTTATCTGGGCCTCCCCTGGTGGCGCAGCGGTTGAGCGCTGGGTTGTGAAGCTGCCCGCAGCCTCTGCAGCGCTGGTTCGATCCCTGGCCTCCGGCAAGGATCCCACATGGTACGCAGACCTCTCCTGCCACCCGCTGCTCCCCTTAGCAGTGTGTTTCGTTGGTCTGCCTGTTCTGTTCCCCGCTCTGGCTCTGGTGAATTCTCTCACCCTCCTGCGCGTCTGACTGTACCCAGTGCTTGAATAAATAAATAAATATTTTAAAAAGAAAGAAATGGCTTATCTGCCAGGACTCCTTGTTAAAGCAGGAGGATCTACAAGATGGGCCCAGAGCGCCATAGCACAGAGGCCATCACACCAGGGATCCAGGAGGAGACCCTCATGACCACCCTGGCTATGTCAATGGATTTAGGAGCCAGCGTGACAATCAGGCTTGAGGACAAAAAAGAATTATGAACTACATCTGAAGGATCAACTCATCATTCTGAAAAACAAAAATCAATGCACAGTCTTTCCCTTTATTCTGCTTTTTCTATAAAAACAGTACTCTGTACTGACATAGATTTAGAGGACAAATCCTTCTTTGTCGAAAAAACCTAATAAATGCAGAAGGAATAGCAATATCAGGATTTTGCAATGCTCAATTAAATAGTAAAAATAGATGATGATTACCAGAGGCTGCTAAAACTAGGAAGTAAAGAATGGAGGAGGGAACCACAACGAGTGGGTGCTGCTGACGACACTCGAACCCTCAGATCAATCCTAACATCACAAAGACAGGACCAGACATTATGTCTTCTGCCTGGGACCCAAGAGGAAGTACAAAGCACCAATGATGACGTGTTCTTGATCCCAAGCAGTACCAGAATCTGCTCAAGCCTCCATTTTACATGGAAATGTAAGGGTCAGAGGCATGTATCAAGTTATACCCCCTGGATGCAATGGCGAACTCCACAATGGAGGAAATTTCATCAGACATGGACCTGGTCATTCAACAAATCAATCGCAAGGGAAAGGAAATTGATAGATTAAAAGAGATTTCAGAAAGCTGATCCAAATGCAATGTGTGGAGCTTGTCTAGATCCTGACTGGAATAAACCAACTGTTTAAAAAAAAAAAAAAGCTTCATAATATTTATGAAATAATCAGGGAAATTTGAATACTGACTGATTTTTGGTGATATTAAGGAAGCATATTGTTTATTTCAGGTATGATTATGGGACTACGGTTTTTTTTTTTTGTTTTTTTTTTTAGGACTTCTATATTTTAAGGATACAGACTCAAGAATTTGCATAGGAAATTCTGTGAAATCTGATTCACTTCTAAATAATCCAATGTAGGAGGACAAAGAGGTGAGAGAAACAGGAGAGGTTTCTGGTGAAGATTCAATATCTCATCCCCACTACTTTTGTGTCTGTTTGGAAATTACCTTAATAAAAAGCTTTAAACAAAACTGGCTCATCTGACTGAATTCGGCATAGGCCTTACTGACAAAAGAGATTCTGTAGGTACCTGGCCAGTTGCGTGAATGCAGGACTTACCTATCTTTATTCACCTCGTTGCCTCTGTCTCTAGTGTGGAAGATCATTGTGTATTTACCCACTTCAGGCAATGGCCGGGTTATTTTCATTCTCTGAAGTTCAACCCTAGAAAAATAACAATGGTGTTTTTTTAAAAAGAGCATCACCCCACCTACCTATAATAGGCACTAAAAAGAATCATTTGCAAAAATTTATATACATGCACACACACAGTCATACTTGAGTCACCTGATTTAAAAATTGTCATAATATGGTATCAATTCAATAAATAAGTGATAATAAAAACAAGAAGGAAAGAAAGAATTATCTCATAATGCTGGACCTCTGACAGTAAGTCCATAAAAGAATCAAACTTAACATTCACTATTGGGGTAAAAATGAGACGTATCAATTTTACAGTTCAGCATTTGAAAAAAATTGAGGTTACTTAATTTAGTACATCATGATAAACAGGAGCACTGAGTCTCTAAGGGTCTTAAATTTACTTAGTGTTTCCTTCTTTCAGCAAAGAAACAAATGATCATTTAAGGTCACAAGTGTTAAAGCTCACAAACCTAGGCTCACACCTTGTTATGTGCAAATGTGGTGAGTCAGTGCATTATTCCAAGTCCTGGTTTCCTCATCTGTAAAGTGTCAGTGGTCTTAGAGAGCTGATTAGACAGTCTCAAAAGAGAGCATCTACATAGAGCATTCTTTGCAAACCATAATAAAATAAATAAGTGCAAATAAGGGTGGAATCTATTCACAGGTGAGCAAATATTAATAAGAAAATCTCAAATTACTTGGTTCATTTGCTAAGAACCACTCTGGAAGCCATGATGTTCCTATCAAATGCAAGCAAAACTTGGGGCTCTCCTCTACCTTGAAGCTAAGGAGGAACAAGGAAAAAGGCAGCGAAAATTCATGATAAGTACAAAATTTTACTGATCAATCCAGTGTGCAGTGAAGGGTATTTGGGGAGAGGGATACTGTCTGCTTCTATCTCTTGCTACTCCTGCCCTAAAACCTAGCAGACACCCTCTGTATGTTTTAGAAGCCATGCAGGCTGCTGAGGGATGGGGCCATGAGGAGCTGCTGCCTATTATTATGGTCACTCCCGTGGAGTCTTTAGTCAGGGAAATCCATTCCCCCCTGCCAGAAACATTCCAGAGGCTCTCTGCCTAGACATGGGAACGAGACCAGCATGGAGCCCTGGCTTCTTTACACTGATGCAATGGAAAATTTTTGGCAGTCACATATCTATTCATTCAAACCTCAGCTGAGAAACTTCTTTTCCAAGAGGCAACAGCAGGAGAAAGGGGGGTTCCTAATAGTGCAAAAGACTTTGTTTTTACAAGTCAGAAGATTCTGACCCCAGATTCTTTGAATATTTCTTTCTGGGAGATGGGGAGACCTATAACTATGGGGCCATGAAACCTAGGTTCAGGGGAAAGAACAGAGAGAGGAGGTCAAGCACCTTTGACCCTCACCCCCACAAGCAGAAATTACTCCAAGAGAATCTGCAGGTACAGCCAGCAGCCGGGAGCCAGACCCGGAAGCCAGGCCAGCAGTTGCTCCCCATGTGTGGGGTGAGCTAATGTACAGGGAGAGGATACCCTGATCCCCTTTAGTTTCAATGTATAGCTCCTCACAGGCTGCTGGCTCCCTGCTTTTTGGACACTGGGATGTGCCAGGATGCCAGGGGGTCTGAGAGAAAGCACAAGGCACTATCTTTAAGTTTAGTTTGCAGACACCCCACATTTTGGGACTTTCCATCCACTGGTGAGACCCTGTCTCAGGAAGTAACACCACTGAGAAGTCTATAAAGGTCTTCACCATCAGCCTGAACCCCAGACACCCACCCAGGGGCCAAGAAGAGACCACCCTCCATCATTTCAAAACTATCAGTGGGACAAAGAGCAATTTGGGTCATCCTGCTGTCTCTCATTCCCTGATACCGTTTGACCCAAATCAAAAGGTCTCCTGTCCTACTGGTCTTGCAACTATAGGTGTTATTCATAAACGTATTTTTCCAGGGCCACTACTGATAGCAGAGCCCCATGAAGGGGACCTGTCTCTGTTGTTCACCTGAGTCTGAGGTCATCGTCTTCGCCTCCCCATCCCCAGTAGTTGTTAGAGAATCCATTCACCTTGAAAAATTGCTCTCTGCTTAGGGCAGTAACACCCCCAAAATATCCACTGTAACGTAACCTGGAGCAAAAGAGAAGAGAGAAAAGGTAAGTACATAATAGAAAGTCTTTTTGTTCTCCATGGACACTTTGGAAACCTCCAGTTTCAGGGTTGGCATTCTAGGTACTCTCTGAATACCATGACTTTTACCCCTCCACTCCTGCTTGGCATCCAATTCCAAACATCCCAGGCCCTTTCTCTCTGATCTTCTTTCCTATCTAAACAAATGCTCACATCTGCTCACTAAGCAAGTTACTACACACTTGAAACTATTAATGTTTATGTGCAGAGGCCTATAGGGGAAACTGTAAATGTGCACCTTTTACATCAGCCCTGGATGACTGATTTCATCTCATGCACCAACCCAATAAATAGTAATGGCTTCCAAGGGCACTGAGTTAAGAAGGATTGTGAGGCTACATCCAGGATTAAAATGAATGAGTGACATGATATATATATTGGCTTTTAAATTTTTTTTTTTTTAAGGTGGTCAGATGGAGAGCAGGAGCCAGTTCCTGCACACACTTTGTATATGAATGTCTACTGAGCATGCAAATCTACTTCTCAGAGAACCTGAAAAAATGCAGACACCTCTATAACCCTGTGGTTTCTGGCTTGGGCAACCAGGTGGGTGATAGTGCCTTTCACAAAAGCAGGGTATACAAAACAACAATTATGCTTTAAGAGGAAGACAGTAAATTCTGTTTTGGATTAGTTGAGTTTGATACCCCTGGGGATTTTGTCAGTCAGGAAAAGGAATGCAGGGTTCATGTTCAAAAGATGCATGGCTACAGATATGGCTTTGGAAATAAGCTACCAAGAGGTGGTACTTGAAGGTGTAGGAATAGGAGAAATGCCTGAAGACAAGGTAGTGCTGAGCAGAGTACAAAAGGGGGGTTGTGGGGAACCCGACAAGAGATGGAAAGGCACCGGATTGAGAGTACCTCTTAGTCACAAGGACTCTTGTGTATTTTTACTGGACAAATTAGCAAACCTAAGAAATAAAGGTATACATTGCATGTAACGTAACAGTACAACGATTAAGAAACTCAAATGAAGGCAGCATATTAATTGAATACTACTAAATAAAAGGATGTGAAAATTTGGAGGACTTCTCACTTCAGCTTCAGTTTAAAATGCTATAGGACTGATGAAATATTTCTGCTTTTCGAAAGAAGAAAAACCAACAGGAAAGCCCATAAATCCACAGACACTTGCCATCGAACATGTAGAATCCAAAAAGCCAATCTGTAGTTTAACAACAAATTGATTCTGTTTCTAATTTTTAATTTTTTTAAAAGATTTTATTTATTTATACATACAAGAGCTGGGTTGCAGGCCAGAGATACAAGGGTTGAAGTGGCGTGAGAGGATTCACCAGAGACAGAGTGGGGAGAGAACAGGCAGATCTACTGAAATACCCTGCTGAGGGGAGCAGCGGGCGAGACAGGAGAGGTCTGCTGCGCCATGTGGGTCACCTCCCTGGCTGGGGATCGAACTCATGCTGCTGTGGCTGCAGACAGCTTCATAGTACTGAGATTTAACACCCTTGAGCCACCAGGGAGGCCCTAAACTGATTCTGTTTCTATGAGCATGTATGGGAAGGACCCTATTGAGCCTGTAACGGAAACATTTACTTATATACCCCAACTTAAACTTCTGAAAAATGGTATCATAATCTAAAACAAAAGAAAACAGAAGTTTTCAAAAGGCAGTTATTACTGACCAAGACATCTACTACATGTTTTTTTGCCATGGTTATCAGACTCTGTTCAACAAGGAAGGGATTCCTAACTACTTGAGAACCAGCACCTGAATAACACCAGGCCCAGGCATAACCTGCCAAGCACACCCAAGAGGGGTCACCTGCACTGATGTTTTGGTAGTGAACTAATATGTAGCCACTAACCACTGTGTGTGAGATAGAAATGACACACAAGTATTAGGCAGACACTTCAATCAGAATAAAAGGTTTTCTAGGAAATAGATTAGAACTCTGATCTTCAATAAGATTTATTTCAGTTTCTAAAATAAGGACATGGATTTGGGCCAAAGTTTCTTTCATTCAGATTAAAAGAGGAGGCACATTCCATCATCACCTGAGCCACATTAAGAAAACCTGCCAGGGCCTCCCTAGTGGTGCAAGGGGTTAAGACGCAACCTATGACGCTATCCGCAGCCACTGCAGCACAAGTTTGGTCCCTGGCCAGGGAGCTACCCACATGGCGCAGCAAACCTCTCCTGTCTCACTTGCTGCTCCCCTCAGCAGTGTATTTCACTCAGTCTGCCTGTTCTGTTCCCCACTCTGTCCCTGGTAAATCCTCTCACCCCCACCCCCACACCTCTGGCCTGTACGCCAGTTCTTATATGCATAAATAAATCTTAAAAAAAAAAAAAAAAAGAAAACCTGCCAGTTAAGCAAAGAAGACAAAGGTTTTCTCATATTTAGTCATAAAAGAAATGCCTGATCAGTTAAAATTAAAAGTTAAAACATTAAGATTCAAACCGTGGCTATTTCTTAGAGTGAGGAGCAGCTGATAAAATCCATAAGAAACACTTAAGTTTTAATTTTTGAAACTCTGCTGGGAAGCTCCCATTGATTCCACAAGATGAGAGGGCCACGTTGCCTGGGGAACAGCTTTAAACCTTTCCCTTAGTGTTTCTTGAAGACACTGTGCTCTCTTGCTCATTAGTTTATTCTAGGAGACATGGAGATCGAATTTAAAGGCAGAACCCAAGGCAAAAATCACCCACAGTCAATGCTACCCTTGACAATCTCTTAAACAGTGCAAAGTGAGAAATCTACACAAGAGCAACGTGGAACCTGAGACCAAGTGAGTTATCAAGAGATTTGAGGTCTCCAGCTTACGTCCACTCCCAGGGTATCCACGGGTACAATCTCCTGTATTATCTTATAATTTTTTTTATTTCCATCTCTCCCTCCCATCACCACGTGTTTATAGTTAACATGTAGAAGTTGAGCACAAAATTGATCAGCTTCACTGTAGGTACCTATCTCCTCACACTCACATACAAAGTATTCCCTGAGGACAGGCACTCAGCTTTATTCCAATTGTTCCCACGGTCCCTAACACAGCAAGCAACACAGATGTGGGCACAGGAGGATGGCAGGGCTTGGAGAAAGCTGAGAGGTAAGTGCACACATTCATAACTGAATAGTTTCATTTGTAGAGAATTTTCTTGGTCACTCTTTCCCATCTATTAAGCTTTAATAGGAGCCATATTAAAGAAGGCTGAAAAGGCAGCCCTGCTTCTCCTGGGGTGGTGAACTGGGGAGGAATGAAGACAGAAATGATGGTTCCCAGCATATCCCCAGGGTCTTTGAGAGAAAGCGCCTTCTCCTTGGTGTCTGGCTACCAGGCAGACTACTGGGTGCAGACTACTGTGCCTTCTGCATGCTCCCTTGGGACTCTGGGAAGATGTCACAGACTGGAAAAGACATCACACTCTCACTACAGAGGCCTGAAAGTTGACCTAAAGGGTGTGCTCTTGTTACCTCCTAGAGGGGGAAATCAGGGACAGACAGGTAAGTTATGAGCTCTGCTCAGTGTGTGACAGCTCACAAAACCCTGTTTTGCAGGAGCTGCGGGTGAGACTGGCCGACATTTGCAATGCTTGGATAACTTCTTTTTTGTTCCTTCCTGTGTGCCTTTGCGATCCTCTACAAAAGCTATTTTATAGAAATTAGGATTTTTTTGGTAAAGAAAGTAGAGAATTTCTTTAATTTCTGTTCTGAACTTTAATTGGTATATCATAGACCTTTTTCCCCATTTCTCATTTTCCTAAGACACCACTCTGCACACTACAGGGCACAACCTCAGTGATTACAGGGCAAGCTCCGCCGCCTAAGCAGACCATGAGCAGAACTGCCTTACCTGTAGCCAGTGCTGTTCCTGCCAACTACCAGATGCTTGGGCTGATCCTCACACGTGTAAAGGTTAAAGTCGTTCTCGGGCACCAGGTCCACATCGTGGAATATGAAGCAGTCCCAATTTTCATCCTTAAGAGCTTCTAGATAGCCCACATTTAAGAGCTTGGCTCGATTAAACTTTTTACTTCCAGCCTATAGATAGGGAAATTAAAATTTGAACAGCTTCTTACACAGGTTTCACACTGTCCCTCTACAGTTCAGATGCAGCAGCTGGTATTATTCTTGCCAACCCATAGGACTGTACTCATGATATGAAAATCTGAAGAGCAGATGCAACAAGAAAAGCCTGTGTGTTGTTTATGTTTTATACATACATATATTTCATAACTTAAAAATATGCCTTTAAGTGGGGAGTTGTTCAACAGGTATATTTTAAATTGTGCAAAATAAAAAAGTCCTACAGATTGGTTGCACAATAATGTGATTATACGTCATACTACTGAACTTTACGCTTAAAAATGGTTAAAATGATAGCTTTTGTTATGTATGTTTTTCCACATTTAAAAAACCATAGTTTTAAAATATAGTTAAGTCAAAAAAATTTAAATATACCTTTACTTAAGCCACATAAAGCTATAAAACCTTTCTTACATACTAGTCATGTCATTCAATTAACATTGTTACACTGTTGACTTTTTAATCTTACCCTATCCAAAAGATAGAGCTTGCCAGAAAGGATCAAGAAATGTTGCCATATAAACAGAAGATTTCATTAAGCTACTTAAAAGTTTCTTGGAATGGCTGTAAGGGAATCCTGCTATCACACTTAATGGTGAAGGCTAATCTTCATAACGGCTTTAGAGGGGATTCATCACTGGGTAAGAAGCACAATTCAACCATAATACAACTAAAGCTATGCTATAAGAAATATCTTATAGTATGAATTTTTCCTGGGCTGTCTAGATCAACTTCCTTAAGAATAAATTCCAATTTGGTAAATAGCTTATCATAACAAAAACACAGGCAGCTCTCAACAGTTACCACAGTGCTTACCTGAAAAAGAGTAACACAGAGAAGACATAGCTTTCTATTCATAAAAATATTGTACATTGGAGCCTGCTGTATTAAGTAAAAACCCAGAATAACAACAATGTTCAAAAGAGAAATAATTATAAACTAATATAATAGTAAAATTTTGTTTTGAATCCTAAAAAAATGGGTATAAACATATCAGATATACAATTGAATTCCAAGAGCCCCATTTATTATAATGTATACACTGCACACTGGTTTACAAAAACATTTTCTTCAAAACAAATTAATAGTAATAACCAATATTAAGGATACAATTAATGATTTTGCTTATATTTCTTAGCAAATTTTAAAGATTTGAAGGGAATTTGGATGATTCAGAACAATTTGAAAAGCTACACATGGATGTTTAAATTTGTGCCTTATTTTTTTCTGAATAACATCAATACCAAATAGAGGCATATTTCACTACCAACTCCACCTAGAGCTAAACGCCTCAAAAGTGTCGAACTTACCCTTATTGTGTTCCTACTAAGACAGACTTCTACAAGTCAAATAAGTGAATCAGAAAGAAAAAGTTGAACATAAAATGTTTTACATAATCTGCAAGCAAAAACTTAACATATTTTACTTAATAGGCAAAACTAAAGGCAAGAAGTTAGAGTTAGTCATAGAACTCCAGGGCTATTAACACACAGTAATCTATCAAATCCTTGGTCTAGAGCCCCACTGAATAGCCATGCTCAATAATGAAAAATAATTCTAATATCTCATGGTGCCATGCACAGCAAAGGCAGAAAGAAACAAGGTAAATCTCAGGGTAGTCACTGGCTAACATGGAAGGGCTCACAAAGTACAGGCTTCCTACAGGGGTTCACTTAAGAAAATTTTCCAGAACTTAGTTCCACAGCCTCACATTCTGGGACAAGAATTTCCTTTACTTCTTTCAAGAATAAGTGCATGGAAAAAGCTCTTTTTTGAAGATAGCTTGATGCTCATTTAACCCACATCCCCCAGAGAAAAGAGGGTCTGAGTTCTGGTCTCTCTCCCTGTACTCACTTGGTTGATAATGTAGATGCCATAGTCCAGCTGCTGCCTCTGCAGGAAGGGATGGAGATGTTCCAGCAGATACAGCAGGTGCTTCTCTCTGTTCCGGTGTGGAATGAGGATGGCAACCCGCTGTGCAGCCTTACAGTCCTCAGGGTGATAGCGGCCTCTGTGCACTTTGGTATTTTCTGCCTGCACATCTTCCAGTGTGAGATCTGGCTTGAAAATGAGCTTGTTCTGACCTTCTAAAAAAAAACAAAAAACAGCACATGCAACTACAGTAACTATCACATCAAATGCTGACAGGCTCACATGTGCAGTACTTTGAGCCTGGCCAGGCACACAGGGGCCTCTATATGAGTGTTAGCTTTTACTATTATTGCTTTTAAAGCCTCATTTGGCCATGAACTATTACTACAGGATCAAATGCCCAGATTATTGATTGTAAAAACACATAACATGTATAAGAACATTTCCTCATGGCTGGGTAAGCAGATTCGAGCTCGATGATTCATGCTTGAGTAGGAAATGTTCTCTGTCCTAGTGACTCCTGGAGGTCAGTGCCGTACCACTGTTCATCAGTGCTTATGGACACATTTATTGCTTACACATGGTATGAGGGTTTGAGCAAAGTGAGTAATACAATCAGAAATGCAATTTAATAACACTTGCTTTCCTATCTCAGCTTGTGTGACCTGTGAGCAGAATACTTCCCTCAGCTAATCAGGAGTAACAGCTTGGTATTTCCGTGACTGAGTAAAGGGAAGCAGCACGCCAATATGAAGAGAGTTCAAGTCTGTGGTTCAACAGGGAAAGTGGGTCTGTGGGGGGTTTTGTTCAGCTAAAAGCAAGAAGCCTCCAAAGAGACCCATTGACCCCCTCCTCCCCCAAAAGTTCATTCAGTGCATGCAGGCATGGTGAGGCACGCTGGACACTGCAGAGCCAGAAAGGAAGACCTGCCTTCCCCCTGTCTGCCCATTGTCTCCTGGGGAAGAAAGACAAGCATATGAACCACATACTGCGATCAGCACAATAGAAATACAGGCAGGCACGCAGGGAACATAAGCTTAACTCTGGGACAATCCCAGATGGGAGACAAGACATAGAAGCTGGATTTTGGATGAATAAACAGGAATCCACCAGGCAGACATGGACAGCAGAAAAGCATTTGGAAAGAGAGAACAATATAAGTAAAGTCTCAGAGGGGTGTTTGGAGAGCTATAAGCACTTTGATGCTCTGGAGAATCAGATATTTATCAGATTTTCTAACAGAACCTTTGTGGGTTAAATTTAATATTGTTGTGGAGGTTGCCTCTCTGATCAGTGTGCTCACTAAAACCAATTTATTGTCCCTTTAAATGAAAAGGCAAGACATCAAAGAGGAAGCAAAACATACAACATATTTAAGGAATCAACACTAAAGATACACTGAAAATTTACTCAGTCCTGGACCTCCCTGGTGGTACAAGGGGTTAAGACACACTCTAGGAAGCTATCCACAACCACCGCAGCATAAGTTTGATCCCTGGCCAGCCAGGGAGCAACCCACATGGCTCAGCAGACCTCTCCTGACTTGCCAGCTGCTCCCCTCAGCAGTATACTTTGGTCAATCTGCCTGTTCTGCTCCCTACTCTGTCTCTGGTGAATCCTCTCACCCCCCACACCTCTGGCCTGTACCCCAGCTCTTGTATAAATAAATAAATAAATATTTTTTTTAAAAATGAAAAATTACTCAGTCCTGTCCCTTGACTTTTGATCAAGAGGATGCACACAGGAGATACAAGTTATGCCTGAGTGCCTGTGTTTCTCCACTTGTGCCCCTGAATCTGGCTATGCAAGGAAAGGAATATGTCCAGGTTAGCCCAGTGGTTCCAGGAGGAGGACGAGAGACAGGTGGAGCAGGGCAACCAGCCTAGATCAACCAACCCCAGCTCAGCCAGTAAACCTGTGAACTAGCACATGCCTATCAATGTATGTTGCGAAGATGCCGTGGCTGGATAATAAAGCTGGGGCTACTCATGTAATAGAATTCTATACACCAGCAATGTAGCCACATTTCACAAACATAATGCCGAGCTATAGATATCAGACACAAGAGTGTATACTACATATTTCCAATTATGGAAAGGTCAAAAACAGGAAAAATCTCATGGGTTGTGTTAAAATCTTAAAGTTAAGGGTAGCAGTGACTGGAGAAAGCATGAGAACTTCTGGGGTTCTAGGAAGATGCCATTTCTTAATTTACATACTGCTACACATACATTTTGAAATACCTAGCCAAGCGATATACCTCTGGCTTTTGTACTTTTCTGCACATACATTTAAGCAAAAGCATTTGTAAAAGTGAAAAAAAAGATACATACTGAGGTATGGAGACGGAGAAGGGCAGCTCTCCAGGTTTGCTTTTGTCTTGGGTGCTTCCTCTGTCACAGTTCCTTCCGTCCCCCAAATTATGGCCTTGTTGAAGTTAGCCATGAAATCCTTTGCTTTAGGAATCTCTTGAATAGCACCCACAATGTAGTTACTAGTGGCCCACCCAACCACCATCATGCCTAAGGTAAAAAGCAACAGTAACCGGAATTTATAGGAAAAGTGAAAAGTCACTTTGAAGGCCATGTCTTCTCCTCTGTGAGCAAAACTTATCTCTCCACCTCACTGCAGGCAGGAAGCTTCAACTTTTCCAATCTGATTGCGAACTTGATGACAGCTCAAGCAAGGCCTGCTTTACTCAGTAGTTCTGCACCAACAAGCTCTAAAAGACAAACCACAAAGACGTTTTGTTTCAAATGCAAATCCTGTCCTGAAATGATTCACTTCAGCACAAACTGAAAATCTGTCCCCTCTAGTCTTCCCCCGCCCCCGCCCCTTTAGTTAGGAGTTCTCCAACTAAGGTTTTGAGATTAAAAAACAAAAATAAAAACCCAGAGATTTGAAAGGAAGAAGGTTCCAATCGTCTATACATCACAGAAGTTCTCTCTGGGTTATCACCCAGGCTGTCTATCACCCAAGAAGAAAAGCCATTTCCAGATATTGCTTAAGAAGACAAGGCCAAGAGAGATGGTGCTGGCCTCCTCAGCTCTGAGCTGGGCACAGCCTATGGCACATCACTATGGTTCTCTCCCTCCATTGCCCCTCCTGGCACAGCTCTAAGAGAAGGTTAGCAACATGTGAAATCTCGCTTCACAATGCATTTTGCGCCAGAGGAAACAAGGGGAGAGAAAAAAGCTCTTCTCTTTAAAAGCCAAAAAACCAAGCTCCTGAATGAGGGAGAAAAGTCAAGGATCTTTTAGTTATAAACGTTATGTTCACAATGTGGCACTGGCACAGGTTCATCCCAATGGGTGGGGAGGGGACAAGACACACAACAGAATCCCAACACAGGAGGGGAATAATCTGTAATGACAGGGAGAACTGCAACACAAGACTGCAATTTAGATCAGGAGGGTAGATTTACACAGAAATAACAGCTCACCCACTCAGCTCCCACACTCATTGGCATAACTCCAGTAGTCACTTACCTGAGCCTTGGTTTCCTTATCTGTCAAGTGGAGATAACAATACTTTCTACCTAGTGAGTTTACTGTGGGGCTGGAGGTCCTAATGTATTTATACACAGAGTGTTAGCCTGTCACCTGGCACACAGTGAGCAACCACTCTATGGTGACTGCTACTGTGGTTACATAATTTTACAACAAATGATTTTGGACGAGGGCTGGCCGACAGGCAGATGCACTGGTGGCAGCTGGAACCACAGCTCTTGTGCTGTATTTCTCACTGTCAACTGATGAACTGCCATCCTGATTTCACACTTCAATAGAATGTGGTGGGAGAGTATAAATGCTTGGTTATTGACAAATTTCCAGTTTCGGAGGCCACACAGCCACTGGTCAGCTCCCGGTCATGGTGAATAAGCTAAGGTGATGAGAACTTCTTGGCGAGGGCCCTTGGGACACAGCCAGGATTACCCCCACATCCTCTCTGCACTGCCAAAACCATGTCTCTCTTCAGATTCTAAATGTCTTTTCAGGAACAGTACAGAAAATGCTCAAGCCAGAGCACTGATATCTCCACAGTGAAGCACAGCCTCAATTAACTGGCTAGAATGTAGACTGAAATATTTTCTGTGCCAAGTAACAACATTAAAAAACCATGACTGAATTAGGACAAAAAGAAAAACAGACTAAACCTTATGTGAGATTACCACTTAAACTATAGAAAATAGAAAAATTGAAAGAAAAATAACCAAAAGCTAATAATAATTGTACTAGCAGTATGGGATGTTTTCTTTTTCCTTTTTGAAATTTTGTATGCCATGTTTCTGTCCTTTTATAATGAAAAGAGAGTTTTCTTTTAAGGAAAAATAGAGATGTGGTAATTGACTACAAAAACCAAAACCAAAACCAAACAATCTTAGGAAGCCTTCAGGATAGCCTCATACTCACTAAAGAGTCACATTCAAAAACTGAGATCTTGGTTCATGTGAGGAAAAGCATTTCTCTCTAGGTACAGTGAGGTTCCTGGGTCAGACCACAGAAGAAAATTTGACCCAGGAAGTGGTTAAGTAGAGGCCTGTGTTTAGGCCCCTGTGTAGGTATTACAAGGTTGCCTGAAAGCAGTAACAACACCTAAGAAGAGAAATGTGTACATTTACTCTATGTCAGGCATTAGGGTTAAATCACTTGTATCAACTTATCTAATTCTTACCTCCAACTTGTCAAGTAAGAGTTATTAGTCTCCTCATTTTATAGATTAGAAAATGGAAGATTTAGATGAAGTAACTTGCCCAAACCTTCACACAAATGGTAAGTGGTGGAGTTAGGGGTCTGAGCCCACTAGTCAGTTTCAAAGTCTGAGCTTCTCCCACACCCCTCATATAGACTTTCCTCCCCTAGTGCCTGGGTGTATCTAAATCAAACTCCTGAAATCTGCACAGTTCCTTCTGGTGACAGTCTACTTATGCCCAACACCCTCCTGTCACTTTTCTTGGGACTGTTTGCACACATGGCTTTCTGGAGGTCTGTTCTCCTTCCAAGTGACAGTAAGTCTGCAGGCTTCTGGGGCCAATCAAACAAATTCTTGTGGACTTTATGGCAGGAGATTTAATTGTTAGTGTTGACAATCATTTTTTGATAAAACATCTCAACCTTGAGAAATTTAGCCTGGGAACATTGTTTTTCTAAGAGCCACTGTAGAGCTGACAAATGGAAAACTGACTGAAGGGATTGCTGATCCTGCAAATACTATTGCGTTAGAAGCAGAAAGCACAGGACAGAACATATATCTAGTTCTCTCATTTCACAGAGGGAGAAGTGTGGTCTATAGAGATTTTAAAACCTACCTAGCAATAGTGAGCTGCGAATAGTCAGACTAATATTACAGAGCTTCCGCCTATGGAATTTGTCCAAAGACAAGAAATTTAATATAAAAACAATCATTTAAAAATATTTATTTATTTATGTATACAAGAACTGGGGTGTAGGCCTGAGGTGCAGGGGGCCGGTGAGAGGATTCACCAGAGACAGAGTGGAGAGTAGAACAGGTGGATCTACTGAAAAACACTGCTGATGGGGAGCAGCAGGTGAGACAGGAGAGTTCTGCTGTGACATGTGGGTTAGTTCCCTGGCTGGGGATAGAACTCAAAAACAATCATTATTAATGATTACCGAATAATTAACCCGTCATTGCTAATTCCACTTCTTGAGGCTATATGACATCAGTTAAAATTAATTACTTTTCCTTTTTCTATGTCTTAGTGCTCCCCTCAAAACTGAAGAGGGAGCCAGCATGAAGGAAGCTACATTGAGAGGTCTCTTTGGTTCCTAGGAGTAAACACCAACAGGTATAGGGCCTCTATCACCCATCCAACCATTTTTCCAAAGACATTTCTTTGCCTAATACACACTCAATATAGCCTACTTCTCAGTTATATTGATAGAAACTTAGCACTTAAGAAACTTTCAGCAAGTTTCCTATGAAATGGTAATAGAGAGCCTCCCCGGTGGCGCAGCAGGTTGAGCGCAGTGCTATGAAGCTGTCCACAGCCTCTGCAGTGCAGGTTCAATTCCCAGCCGGATGGGGAGATACCCACATGGCGCGGCAGACCTCACTTGTCTCGCCCACTGCTCCCCTCAGCAGTGCTCTTGGTCCGTCTGCCTGTTCTGTTCCCGACTCTTCTCTGGTGAATCCTCTCACCCTCCTGTGCTTCTGGCCTGTACCCCAGTTCTTGTATAAATAAATAAATCTTAAAAAAAATAAATAAAATGGTAAAAGACAATGTATCTATCTTACACTGTTGGGTAAGAATTTAATGAGATGATGCACCCCAACACACCAGGTACATTCCCAGAAATACATTGTATAATAGTTATTGACTCTGATTACCACAGTGCAAATCTTATTAGAGTGCTGCCACAGCAATGTTATCTCTCAAATTACATACTGAAATATAGATGATTTTTATTTTCTATCTCCTTGTAATTTTCTATTTTTCTTTCAATGATTATGTATTGTTTTTATAATTTAAAAAATACAATGATTTTTTTTTAAATAAGTTTTTTTTTTTTAGGTAAGGTAACTTCTGGTTGGTGTTTGAGGAAAGGTCATCATATGGGACTGATTTATAATAACATTTAAGTAATCGAGGTCCTGAATGATCCTGAAAAAAAAAATTCTTTTCAATCAAAGCTATCTTGAAGTGAAGGGAATTGTGGCTGTAGAGAACAAATTCAGGTAACAGGAAAGTAGCTATTTAGGGCAGAACTGACCACCTTTTTGCTTTCTAGCAACCTGGCCTAGAATTAGTTCAAAATGGCTTTATAATTTGGTTTTTCTCCTCTCAATTCAACCAACCTTTTCTGAGTACCTTACTTGCTATTTCAGGCATAGTGGTAGGCAACAAGGAAACATAAAAGGAATTAAAAGTATAATCCTTGCACTCAGAGTTTATTTCAATACTTTCTTAGATTTTATGTCTACAATTTGTTTTCAAATATGCTTGTTCCACATAAAATATATAGAAGAAAATATAGGCAAAACACTACATGACATACATCTCAGTAACATCTTTAAAGACACATTTCCTTCCCAAAGCAAAGAAAGTGAAGGAAAAGATTAACAGCTGGGATTACATCAAACTAAAAGGCTTCTGTATAGCAAAAGAGACATTAACCAAAACAAACAGACATCCTACTGATAGGGAGGAAATTTTTGCACACAATACTACTGATAAGGAACTGATCACAAAGATCTACAAAGAGCTCCAGGACTCAACTAAGTAAACAATCCAGTCAAAAAATGGGGAGAAGAGTTAAAAAGACACTTCTCCAAAGAAGAAATGCAAATGGCTGACAAGTATTTATTTATTTATTATAAGTGATGTTCAAAACCACTATGAGATACCACCTTACAGCAGTGAGAATGGCGCTCTCTCTATCTCTCTCTCTCTCTCTCTCTCTCCCTCTCTCTGAATCCTCTCAACCCTTCACACCCTCTAGCTACACCCCAGTTATAGTATGCAAAAATGAAAATTAAAAAATAAAAACCAGAAACTGAATATAACCCAAGTCAATATATGGAGTAAATTAACTTAATTCTTTTTTTTAAAAAAAGATTTATTTATTTATGGGGTACAAGCCAGAGGTGGGGGGTGGGGGTGAGAGGATTCACCAGAGACAGAGTGGGGAACAGAACAGGCGGGTTGACTGAAATACACTGCTGAGGGGAGCAGCAGGCGAAGCAAGAGAGATCTGCATTGCTATGTGGGTTTTTCCCTGGCTGTCCAGGGATCAAACTCAGCCAGGATCAAACTCATGCTGCAGAGGCTGCGGACTGCCTCATAGTGTGGTGCTCAACACCATGTGCCACCAGAGAGGCCCTAACTTAATTCTATTTTTTTTAAAGATTTATTTTTATTTATTTACTTATACAAGCACTGGGTACAGTCAGAAGTACAGGAGGGTAAGAGAATTCACCAGAGCCAGAGCAGGGAGCAGAGCAGGCAGAAGGACCGAGGTACACTGCTGAGGGGAGCAGCGGGCGGCAGGAGAGGTCTGCGCGCCATGTGGGACCCTCCTCCCGTGGCCGGGGAGCAGCCGGGGATCGAACTGGCGCTGCAGAGGCTGTGGGCAGCTTCGCAACCCAGCGCTCAACCGCTGCGCCACCGGGGAGGCCCGTAACTTAATTCTTGAAGAGAATCACTGGTTTTGGTACTCCTCAAACTGACCTAACACACAGCAGGTGCTCAAATTGATAACTAATGAATGACTTTCTAGGATATTCTAGTTGAAATACAAAAGGACACACCATAATCCTAGGCTACTTACTAAAAAGGATGAGAGGTTGGGTGGGGTAAGGGTGGGGGGATAAAGATTAATAAAGGGAAAAAGTTAAATGGGTGTAAAAATTCCATTTGAGGAAGAGTTTAAAAATTGAGCAAGGCTCAATTTTGTGTGTAGAGGGTTCACCTCAAGGAAATGGTTCTTTCTCCAGCCTCCCTGGTGGCCTAGAGGCTAAGCCTCAGCTCTATCACCCAAGCATCCTGAGTTCGGTACAAGGCCAGGGAGCTAACCCACTATGGTGCAGGACACCTCTCCTGTCTCACCCACTGCTTCCCTTGTGTATTTCAGTATATTCACCTGTTCTGCTCCCCACTCTATCTCTGGTGAATCCTCTCACCCCCTGCAATTCTGGCCTACAACCCAGTTCTTCTAAGCAATAAATAAATCTTTAAAAAAGAAAAAAGAAATGGCACTTTCTCTTGGCCACGCCCACCACCTTCTCCAAGCCATGCTCCTCTGTCCTGGCTCTGAAATGAGTTGCTGCTTGGCTGCCCACTCCTCCCAGCCCAGGGAACACGGTGCTGAACAAGAGCTGTGGGTGGTCCTAGACATCCACTTTATAGCAAGAGTTGTCAAGAAATGGTCAGGGAACAAAAAGTAAATTTAATTAGCTAAAGGACTGAAATTATTTCATGTAGTATACATTATACAGCATCACAGAATTTATAAGAATTTTTGATGGGGGAATTTAGTGAAGAGATCATGTGTGCTTCTGTGTCATTGACCACTATACCTGAGAGCCCTGCAGGGGATCAGCAAGGTTCCCTCTCTGCAGTCACTAGGGGCACATGGGTAAGAAGGCTTGAAAAGGTTTAAGAAAATTTAAGGTAATGGAAAAAACAAGGGCTTTCAAGTCACAAAGGGCTAAGTTCAAATCTTGCTTCCAGATGAATAAATGGCTTTGGGCCGGTGACCTCAAATTTTATTTTGCTATTTAAAAAGCATTTCTCAACAACTATGAACCAGAGACATACTATGGGGGGGTGGGCGGGGAAAGGAGAAATTGGGGTCAAAATAAGGGGGTTGCAATTGTATGGGGAATATAAAAATAAAATTTAAAAAAATTAAAAAATAAGAATAAGTGGGGACTATAACCAAGATGAAAATGCATACATTGTGCAAAAATGAAAAATGGTGTAAAAAATATATAAAATAAAAAATGAAAAAAAATAAAAATGAAAATAAAAAGCATTTCTGAAAGCGGGTCCCAAAATCTTCATCATATACAAAAGGGAATATGTTAAAATTGATAGATTCCTGGGCCCTACCTCACAATGAATGGGTCAGAACAACAAGAAACTAGGACTCAGGAAAATGAATTTTTAACAAGTTCCCTAGGTGATTCTTATCCACATTAAAGTTTGAGAACCAACGAAATAAGAGAAAGGACCTGGGATTCAACAGATCCTTCAGAAACGGTCATTTTCCTTCTGGTGCAAAAAAGTAGTAAAAAGATATGTGAGAATGAGATTTTAAAAATGCATTTGGATGGCTTTTGACTCCATCATTTGGAAATTTATTACAAAATATATTTATTTATGCTACGTAAATAATCCTAGGTAGACCATGATATTCAAATCACAATTACTAAAATAACTAAAAATTGAAAAGAAGCCAAATGTTAATAGGAACTGACTTAATTACAGATCCTTCATAGGATGGAATATGCTCTCATTAAAATGGTGTTTAAAGAACTTAACTTCATGGGAAAGTGCTCATGATAGCTAAATGGGAAAAAGAACAAATTATAAAAATGTATATGGAATACAATCCCAATTATGCCATAGATAGATGAGTGAGCATGTCTTGTGTGTATATGTAAAGCCACAAAGAAACCCCTTAATTACAGAATTATGGAAATTTTGTTTCTCCCATCATTTCTAACTTTTCTAAAGTAGGGTTGTTATGATCAGAAACAATGTCATTTCTTCTGACAAAATAACATAGTTTTCCTTTAAAATATGTTAAAAATTAGGGGCCTCCCTGGTGGCACAAGGGACTAAGCACACCACTATGAAGCTATCCACAGCCTCTGCAGCACCAGCCTGATCCCTCCTCCAGCCAGGGAGCTACCTCTCCTGTCTCACCCGTTGCTCCCCTTGGCAGTGTATTTCACTCAGTCTACCTGTTCTGTTCCCCACTCTGACTCTGGTGAATCCTCTGGAGTACAGCACCTCTGGCCTGTACTCCAGTTCTTATATGCATAAATAAATATTTAAAAAATAAAATATGTTAAAAATTAAAGATAACAGGCAGGAATTGACTTCTAGTTACATAAGTTGGCAACAATTCCTCATGTCACCTTTAAGGAAATCTGTTCTCAGCAGACCCCAACATAATGGATGTTAACTGGCTTAATTATGATCATTTTGTAATATATACATCTATGGAATTATTATGTTGTACACCTGCAAATGAAATAATTGTATATGTCAACAATATCTCATTAAAAGATAAATAAATAAGTAGGTCTCAACAAGCCTAATCTCAAAGAAAAAACTCAGAGATTGACAGTCATTTCAATACCAGAAAATCTTAGGGTCTCTATTTGAAATTCCTACCCGTAGGCTCCCCCAACTAGAGATTTTTATTTCAAAGGCCTGAGATGGAGCCAGGGAATCCACATTTTCAATAGTAACCCAGGTAAGATTGAGAAATGACCATTCACTGATGGCTTAAACAATAAAAGGCAAATCACATTGACTTGCTTTGTAAGTCCCCACTTCGAATAAAAAATCTTCAAAGAGATATGGTTAGTTCTCAAATCATTTACAAGCATCTTTGGGAAAAGCACACCTTAGCTCAGCTTAATATTATTCCAAATACTTGTATCAAGTGCCATATAATATAAAGTTTTGCTGTCTCTCCCCCCATATTCCTTAGTCAAGAGTTCCGTTCTCTTTAGCAGGTGACTTCATCTGATCAATAGGTAGCTCTCCTCTCTTTGCATGGGGTTTAAAGGTTAACCCTGTTCTAGAAGATAAAGAGATAAAACCGTGGTACACTAACGCGTTATCTCCTCCGCCTAGATTCAGATTCCAAGAATCCTGAACAGCCCGGTCTGCCTACAGCATACTCCACTCCTCTTTTATGATCCTCTTCCGCTACTACTTCCCCAAAGAGGTGGGGAGGTCACCTGGTGCCCAGGCAGCCTTCAGGTCCTCCTCCCTCACCTGCTTTCACACACTTTGCAACCTGGCTCACGCCCACTCCTCGTTGATTAACCTTTCGCGTGTGCCTGCAGTAGAGCACTGATAAGTCCTTTTAAGCGCGCGGGTGAGGACCCACAGTCAGGCACCCCGTTTTGTATCGGGGCTGCCCCATAACAATCTCTTCTGAGACTACCAACCCACAGGCTTTTTCTCAATCCCAATTCTCTACAGATAATAATCAACAGACACTGGCTTCTTTCTAAAGCCCCTCAAGACAGGTGTCCCAGAAGTTCTTTCAGATCCAGGTGACTCTCACAACTTGTCAGGCCCCGCAGGCCAAGCCCCCAGGCTGGGATGAGGTGGTCAGTTTCCTAGCAGAAACCTCGGGCCCAGACGGCTTCAGGAGGAAGGTCTTTCTTCACGTCGCAGCGCCCGGCGGGGAGAAAGGTTCTGGGGTGGGGGGCGTCAAGAGGCCTCAGGGGTGACCCCAGGATCTCTCCCTACGTGGCAGCAGCTCGCCCGGCTCCCCCACGGGCAGCAGGGGGTGCGCCGCGGTGGCGCCGGCACCTGGGCCGGTGTCTCCCGCCAGCACGGCCTTCGCAGGCCCCTAGCCCTGCCGCTCGGTTCGGGCAGGACCGCTCCACCGAGGCCGGCTGCGTCGGCCCCACGCGCGCCGGGCCCCAGCCCAGGGGCAGACCCAGAATTGAAAGGCCGGGGCGCCGACACCGCCAGGCCGGGCGTACTCACCCAGGCGCAGCGGCGGCGAGCCCCGCCGGGAGAAAGTGAAGGCGGCGAGAAGTGGTCGCCGGGCCCGCCCCTGCCGCCCGGAGGCCCCCAAGGGCCGGCTCCGCCCCCCGCCCACCCCGCGGTCTCCTCCGCTCCGCCCTGGGGCGGGTCCGCCGGTGGCTGCGCAGCCTGGAGCTCAGCCCCGGGCCAGAGCGACCCACCCGCGCAAGGAGGCGGCGCCCGGAGGGGCAGGACGCGTGGACAGCGTGGCCTAGGGAAGGTCTTCGCTGCGTGTCAGCACTGCGCGAGGGGCTGGGCTCTTTCCAAACTCATGCCATTGGCAGCAACGTGGATGGAGCTGGAAGGGATCATGCTCAGTAAAATAAGCCAGAAAAAAAATGAAAAATACCGCATGGTTTTACTTATAGGAGGAATGTAAAGGATCCAAATAAGGGATCAGGGGGGAAAAAAAGTAATTATTAATAAAGTAAAAATCAAAATCAACAGGCAACTATAAACCAGAGACATTTTGAGGATCAAAACCGGCGTTGCAGGGCCTCCCTGGTGGCACAAGGGGTTAAGACGCAACCTATGAAGCTACCCACAGCCACTGCAGCATGAGTTCGATCCCAGGCCGGCCAGGGAGCTACCCACATGGCGCAGCAGACCTCTCCTGACTAGTCCGCTGCTCCTCTCAGCAGTGTACATTGGTCAGTCTGCCTGTTCTGTTCCCCGCTCTGTCTCTGGGGAATCCTCTCAATCCCCGCATCTCTGGCCTGTACCCCAGCTCTTGTATGCATAGATAAATAAATCTTTAAAAAAAAAAAAAAAAAGCGTGGCAAGAACACAGACTATGGTGATGGTACACGGGTGAATTGGTGGTGGGAATTTCACGGAGACAATAACCGAAATGAGAAAGCACAAATTGTACAAAAATGAAGAACGATGTGAAAAATATATAAATAAAAAAATCTATATATATTAAAAAAATCCAAATTGCATCCCCGTAAATGCTCACAAATATTTGTGAAGGAGATACAATCCTTCCCGTTTGGCGCAGTAGAAAACCGAGGCTTTAGAGGGCGATAAACTTACCTTACATCACCCTGACAGGTTTTCAGCTTTCTCAACCCCATAATGCACCAAGTTACCGGGCTTCCTCACTTCGCCAGACTACTGAAAATACTGGCCGAAAAACTGTGACAAAGCCGTTTTTCTTCAAAGGTGTGTTTACAGAGAGTCAAGACAGAATCATACATTAAAATTTAAGTGAAAAATCATGGTGGGCTCTGCTTAGCACGCAAGGTAGATAGCTCCACCCACGGGGTAGTAATAGATTTCCAAGAACCACCCCATCTGAAAAGGGGCAAACCATAGGAAGAACAGGTGCTGGGGTTATGAAGCACTAAGCAGGAGTCTGGGCTGTGCTGAGGTTAGCGGAAGGTCTGTGCTGGCACTGCGATCTAAGATCAAAGCAGACAGCAAACCTGAGCTCTCCGCATCAAACCCTCAGCAAACCCGAAGGCCAGAAGAGCACAAAACAGGTGCTATGTCACCAGCATCTGAGCAAAAGCACAGAAACTCACTCTGGAGAAGAGTCTCACTGTAGTCCCAAGGAAAATGAAATTTAAAAATAAAAACCATCAATCACAGGAGACCACACAAAAATGATAGCAGGAATAATACCTAACAGATTTAAACCCTCGAGGATATCAGAAGTTGGAAGTGTTTGACACAAAATACAGAATTTTTTTTTAATTTTTAAAGAAAAATAAATGTCTCTAGAGGTTACCTACCAATTAGGAGAAAGGATAGGAGAAAGGATACCTTTATATTGGAGAAATCTGGCAGACACCACACTCACCAAGTACTCAGTTAATCTCACCTGTATACATATTGATACCACATGTGAGGTGATCCTCTGAGCGCATGACATGGTCGTTACTGTTTTCCTCCCAAGAATGCATACTTGGAATTTAATCATGAGGAAACAACCAGACAAGTCAAAATTAAGGGACATTCTTCAAAAGCAATCCGCTTCAAAAATGTCAATGTCATTGTTATAGAGCAACCCCGATATTAAACGGGTTCCTGGCTGTGGGTCCTCACCCGCGCGCTTTAAAGGGACTTATGAATACTCTACTACAGACACACGCAAAAGGGTTAATAAAAGGTTTATTTACAAGAGAAAAAGAAATAAGGAAAATGTACAACTCAGGGAGAAAATAGGGAAATAAAGTCTTTAATGCGTCCTACCCGATCCGACGACCTGGAAACCCCAAAGTCACTCTCAGAGCTAGACGGACGCCGCGAGCTGGCCGAGGGCCCCAAAATGGAGAGAGCCCCCAAAGCCCACGTGTCTGCCTTTTGTATCCACCTGGCTGCTTAACCCCACCCTCAGGTCCCAGCCACCTTCCCTTTGGTGGTGATGGGATTTGGAGTTCCCAGTGTCTTTGGCTTTGACCTGGGGTGGGGGTGGAGTCCACAAAGCCTGTATGGAATTTGCTTTGGGACTGCCTTTTCCCCCTAACATCATGAAAGACAAAGAAAAATGGGCAACAGTTTCTCATTAAAGAAGACTAAGGAGGGTGACCATCTCAGTTCTGGCACTGGTGAAAAGATTGCTCTGAAGTATATTATTGACACAATTAGAAATGAATGTGTACATTGTGGTACATTTAAAAACAACCTTGAATTCTTTGACCTTCTTCTGACTGAGAATGGGTATATATTTCCCTCCATTTGAACCTGGACAGGCTGTGGCTGCTGTGACAAATAGCAGAGATTGGAAGTGATGCTATGCTGATTCTGTGTCCAATCTTCCAAGGACAATTTCCACTTCCTCTTCCACAACACTCCATTTTGTTAAAGCTGTTATATGCCTGTTCAGATTTATAGGTAGGGGAAATATATCCCCATTTCATGGTGAGAGGAAAGACAAAGAATTTGAGGCTATTTCTAATCTACTGCATTGTACATATTCATTTTCAATGGTCTCAATAATTGAGAGCATACTATAACCTTTTCCCAATCTCAGATCATACATGAAAGAATTTCCTTAGTCTTTGTGCAGGGGTGTATTTCCCCACCTCCATTCATATGTTGAAGGCATAATTCCCAGAACCTCAGAAATGACAGCATTTGGAGACTGGGCCTTTGAAGAGGTAATTATGTTAAATTAGGATTGTTGTGTTAGGCCTGAATACAATATAACTGCTGGCTTTATAAAGAAGGGGAAATTAGGAAACAGACAACAAAGACAGAAGGATGAGCATGTGAGGGCCTCAGGAGAAGATGGTCTCCTGCAAACCCAGGAGAGAAGCCATAAAGGAACCAAATCTGTTGACACCTTGAATTTATAGCCTCCAGATTGTGAGAAAACAAATTTCTGTTACTTAAATCTTGCAATCTGTGGTATTTTATTATGGCACCCTTAACAGACTATTACAGTCTCCTTTAATCTGACAGAGTCACCCATAGCTGAGGCTTCAGACATCTTAGAGGAGAGATGAGCCCTCCCCACCATGCCATATCTGAATTCCTGAATTCCATACCAGAATCATATAATATGATGGTGATAAACTATCATTCCAAGCCTCTGAATTTTGATGTCATTTGTAACTTAGCAATAATCAAAGCAAACTATGTATTATATGGTAATATTCTGTTGATCTTAAATTTTTAAAATTCGATCATTATATTAGTTTTATAAAGGCGAATGACTTTGTACTTAAGAATTATTTAATGATGAAGTATCATGATGTTCATAATTTATTTCAAATGATTCAGTTAAAATGTGTGTGGGGCGAGAGATGACACGCACAAATGTGGCAAAACGTTACAGTGGATGAATCTAGACAAAGCATATACAGGTGTTCCTCAAATAATTTTTAAACTTTCCTAAATCTTGACATTTTTCAAAAAAAAGTTGAAATAAAAAAGAGAAAGTATTAAATCCCAGAAAGGAAAAAGCAATGACTAGATTTCCCCTTCTGATAAAGATGAAATCACAGGGATAGATGCACCTCTCCACCTGGAAGGGCTTAAGAAAACAGAGAAAATATATAAAACAACAGTTTTCAAGATAGTCTATATCAGGCAAAAAAGGACAGTGATCTCTGAGAGACAAACAAACATGGTGAGTCCTACAATTGCCCCAGTTTCCTACCTTAAAAGAGTTTCCGAACTATGGCAGGGTGAGGGGTGGAATCAGACAGAGCCTGGCAGATGCCCTGAGTTGAGGAGACAGACCTTGGAATCCACAGAGACTTCTAGTCACAGAGGAACTAAGTTAAAAATCAATAAATGAAACATTCTTGGAAAGTCTCCAAATATTTCAAAACTAAACAACACCCTTCTAAATAGCCAAGAGATCAAAGAAGAAATGAAGAGAAATTGAAAAGAATTTTGAACTGGATGAAAATGAAAACAACATATCAAAATTTGTAGATGTTATTAACATAGAACTTAAGTGAGTGCTACATATCTATATTAGAAAAGAAGTTCTATAATCAATGATTTTGGCCTATTCCCTACAAAATTAGAAAAAGAGGAGCAAATTAAAAGTAAGCAGAAAAAGGAGAACATGAAGATCAAAGCAGAAATCAATGAAGTAAGAAAAAAATCAAATAAAGCAAAAGCTGGCTCTTTGAGAAGATCAATAAAATGGATTTTTCTCTGGCTAGACTAATCAGGAAAAAGAGAAAAGACACAAATTATCAATAGCAAGAATTAGAGAGGTGACATCATCACAGATTCTTTAGGCACAAATACAACACATTGAAGAAGAGACTAATATGAATAACTTTTATGCCAATAAATTTCACAATTTAGACAAAATGGACAAAGTCCATGAAACATATAAATTACCACTGCTCACGCAAGATAAATAGCTCTCTACTAAGAAAATTTAAATTATCTTTAAAAGTCTTTTCACACAGAAAACTCCAGGCACAGCTACCAGCAGAAACAATACTAGCTTTACACAAATTAACATTTGTACTAGTACTAATTCTACATAAAGAGAAAGATATTAATTCTATGTAAGATATTTCCAAAAGAAATTGAAGAGGAAGGAGCACTTCCC